GCTCCTCCACGCTGAGCCACAATTCTGTCTGATCCTGTCGAGTTTGCTGACTCTCTTAATTCTCTGCCAATCAGATTGCTGCTCTCTCCTCAGAGTCCTGGGTTCTGCTCTGATTGGATGGCTTGCTGAATGGCCAGCATCAACTGGCTGAGCTTGGGTCTGCCGCCATCCTGAACCCATCGCTGCAGCAGCAGGGATGCTGGTGGAGCGGTTCTGGCCTGGGTGCACCCGGATACAGGCTAGCGCCGCTGCCAGCTGTGGAGCCCTTGTCAGGACTTTCCTGGGTGCCACCGCGGTTTGTCAGGTGCTGTTCGGGGCCCAGCCCTTCTGAGGGCACTTGTGTCCTCCCCTTTCTCCCTCCTGCTCTCACGTGGGCCTGGACCCTAGGCCATGAGAGGTGCACAGCGGGTGACGGAGCAGGGACACCCCCAGTCCTCCTCTGTCCCTCTCTGCCTGTTCCGTAGACTTCCCACTTCCTGTGCAGGGCAGTCATTAATAGGACAAACCACCAGCCTGAAGGACCATCTGTCCCAGTGCCGAATTCCAGGCCTTTGTCCAGCATGGTACACATCCATTCCAGGCTCCCGGCCGGGGACGGGTGTCCTGAGGGCAGCACAGCTCTGGGACACTCTGCAGGGGAGGCAGCCTCAATGCAGGGGCACCTGACTCACTACTTCCGAGAGCTCCACCAGGCCCCCTGTCGCTCCCCCTCTTCGTGGAGGAACGACACAGGACCCTGCGCTGTTCTTTTGTCTGCTCGGCTCTTCCCGGGTTTGCTGCTGGTTCTTCCCGGGTTGGCTACCGACCCTTCCACCTCCATGGAAGGGCGGTTCCCCCTGCCACATTCCCCACTTCCGCGGGGGAGCGGCACACCGCCGGCCGGCTCTCTCGGGGGCTGCACAGGTGTTCCCCTTAGATGTTCCTGGTGCATGTTGTCTCTCTCCTCCTGTATAGTCCTCTTCCACCAATCCCAACTCTGCTACCCACACGCCGAGTACGCTGCTCTCCTGCAATCAGGAGCAGGTCCTGCAGCTTGTTGGTTGAACTGGAGGCAGCTGTGTAGAAGCTGTTTCCTCCTCTCCCAGCGCAATATTGTGGGAGAGCAGATGCATAGAATAAGTCTTAATTCCAGTAACTTAGTCTAGTCCGAGTTGCTCCCAGTTGCTCCCCACAGCCCCCTCCCTCCCTTCTTCCAGGGCTGCAATCCCTCGTGTCCCCGCCAATCCTTGGCTTTTACATCCCCCATCACTCAGGGTGACAGAGCTCAGATCGTGGGTAGCTTGGAGACTCCAGCGGGAACCAGGGCACCGCAGAGAAGGGGTGTGGAGGCAAGCAGCACCCGCGTTCCTGGGAGAGGGTCTGCTGATGGCCCAGTGGTGACGACTCAGTCCTGGAGGCCCGGCCACGTCGGTGACCACTTTCAACTCCTCTTTCCCATGGGAGCTGTGGAGGCACACGGATTTAGGGTGAAACAGCTGGGCTGAGCTCCCAGCTGGACCGGGCCACCTGGGATTCTGGGATTCTGCCACTGATCCCTGGGTTTCTGCTGGGCAAGGCTACAAAGGCCGTGGGCACTGCCCTGTCCAGCGGTGCAGAGGCACAGTGCTTGGCCCCTGGCCGTGACCAGGACTACCCAAGTCCTGTCTGCACACCAGATCTTCTTGTAGGACCAGCACCCCAGTTCTGGACTCGTGACCTGTGCCACCTCCACTCCTGTGCAGGCCGCGTCGTCACCTCAGCACCCTGACCACTGCCATCTTTACTACGCCTTTCATCTTGGACTTGGAAGACAGTTGTGGTAACGTACAAGGAGTTCCAGATACCTTTCATGCTGATTACTTAAATTTGCACACACACACACACACACATACACATTTATTTATACCACACATTTGAGAACACTTTTAGAGTAACTTGCAGACACCAGGACTCTTTACCCCCTAAATACTCGTATTTCCTAGAAACAAAGCATTCTCTCACATGGCCACAGCACATCTGAATCAGATTAAAACAGATATAACCCAGCCACCTCAGCTACAGACCTTGCTCAGATCTCAGCCTGCCTCCCAGCCTTCGATGATCCAAGATCTCTTTTTTCTCAACATCAGCGACAAGACAGATAACCCTTGGTGCTGCTGCTAGTTAAACACCCACAATGCCTGCAGCTTGCAATGTCACGTGTTATCATTCTAAGAAACTGTGCCTCTGGGAAAGCTACTTGGCCAGTTCTACAGATAGGCGGATGCTCAGAGAGGGTAATGGCTTTACGCCTTTTGTGGTTTTGGGGTGCAGCGCTGGGGCTGAATCCAAGTTCGGTGACAGCTAGGGTAACGCAGGGATGGGCAGATCTTGCTTTGAAGACACGGACAACTGTGGGAAGTTTGCGACCACATAATCCAGTGAGGCCAGGGAGGCTGGGGGGAGTCGCCAGGACCGCAGCGGAGCTGCAAGAGACCTCGGTAGGCGTTTCAACGCTGACGTCCGGGCCCCGACTGCCTCTTCCAGCCCTCCCTGGCCCGCGCCCCAGCTTCTGTGTCTGGTTTTGTGAGGATTACATGAGGCAGCACAGGGACCGCGCTGGGTGTGAGGGGAACCTCAGCGTGGTTACTCCCGTCTGCCGGCAAGTGCCTCGGAACGCTTCCACTGCTCTGTGCCAGCAGCGGCCTCGGGGACAAGGGCACCGGGGGTTTTCTCAGGAATGGCTCTCACCTGGCCCCTCCCCCAGGGCAACTGTGTCAGCGCAGGCGAGCTGGCCTGCAGCTTGCCAGGGGAGTGTGCCCATGCCCTGCTGGCTGGGTTGCCGTGGCCAATGGTTGTTTCAGGGGTGTGGAAAGACCCGTTCCACCCTCTGCACTTGGAAATACCCAGAGAAGAGGGCTGGTGCGGGAGATGCTGTATTGGCAGGTGGTGGGCACCCCCTTTCAGCTGCACAAGTGCTTAGAGCCGTGGTTCTTTTTTCTTTTTTTTTTTTTTTTTTTTTTTGACAGGCAGAGTTAGACAGTGAGAGAGACTTCCATTGGTTCACCTCCCAAATGGCTGCTATGGCCGGCACTGCACCAATCCAAAGCCAGGAGCCAGGTGCTTCCTCCTGGTCTCCCATGTGGGTACAGGGCCCAAGCACTTGGGCCATCCTCCACTGCCCTCCCGGGCCACAGCAGAGAGCTAGACTGGAAGAGGAGCAAGCCGGGACAGAATCCGGCACCCCAACCGGGACTAGAACCCAGGGTGCCGGCACCGCAGGCAGAGGATTAGCCTAGTGAGCCACGGCGCCGGCCAGAGCCGTGGTTCTCTTAACCACAGCCCCTGAGACACTTTTGGTGGCCAAAATGGGTGGTGGGTTGCTGCTATTAGGTAGTGGGCACGTGGGCGGGGGTGCTGCCAATACCGAATGGGAAAGCACCCCCTCTCTGGCTCCCATCAAGATGATCCAACCTAAAATGGCAACAGTGTCAAGGTTGAGAAAGCTTGATCTAGAGTGACATGGTTGGTTTTTCCCATCATCTCAGACCTGGCTGCTTCCAGCATGATGACTGTGTGACCACACTGACAACCTGCAAGTACCATAGTTCTGGGAAGGCAGAGGGTCAGACACATCGTCTGTCCAAGGCCCACAGTTAGGACTGGGCCAGGAGCCTGGAACTCATCCCCGGCCTCCCAGGTGGGTGGCAGGGTCGTGAACACCTGAGCCACCTCCGAGGGTGTGAGGGTGTGCACTAGCAAGAAGCTGGCTCACGGCAGGGCCAAGACTCCAACCCAGCTCTCAATGTGGGACGCAGGCCTGATGACACGACGCCACTGACAGCCAGGAGATGGGCAAGACGCATGGCCGTAGGGGACTGGGCCTCATCCCTCCCCACCCAGGCCTGCATTCGCTCAACACCTGGGGCACGACGCCACTCCTCGCAGCCTGCAGCTGAGCCCCCTTGGGGCGGAGGGGCTCTGCTACCCTGCCAGGTCCTACCTCAGCACCCACGCAGCCCTGTCCTGGGAGACCTTGTGGCGGGGAGTGGCTCCCACGCGGCAGAAGGAACCGGAAAGTCAGGCTTCCCTGCCTTCCTCCACTCAGACCCGGTGCACAAAACTTCTCCCAGGAGGGCCGTCGCCCCTGGGGAGGGTTCACCGACCACCGACCACCGCGCCTGGGTGCTCGGGGCGGGCTGCTCTCACCACCTGGAGACAGCAGCGGGAGAGCCCTGCACGGCCCCGCACGGCCGAGAGGAACCAGGACAGCCCAGGACAGCCCCGCACAGCCCTAGAGGAACCTGGACAGTCCCACATGGCCCCAGAGTAACCAGTACAGCCCCGCACGGCCCTAGAGGAACCAGGACAGCCCAGTACAGCCCCGCACGGCCCTAGAGGAACCAGGACAGCCCAGGACGGCCCAGGACAGCCCCGCACGGCCCTAGAGGAACCAGGACAGTCCCCCACGACCCCGCACAGCCCTAGAGGAACCTGGACAGTCCCCCCACGACCCCGCACAGCCCTAGAGGAACCTGGACAGTCCCCCACGACCCCGCACAGCCCTAGAGGAACCTGGACAGTCCCGCACGGCCCTACACGGCCCTAGAGGAACCAGGACAGTCCCCCACGACCCCGCACAGCCCTAGAGGAACCAGGACAGTCCCCCACGACCCCGCACAGCCCTAGAGGAACCAGGACAGTCCCCCACGACCCCGCACAGCCCTAGAGGAACCAGGACAGTCCCCCACGACCCCGCACGGCCCAACACTGCCTAGCGCCGCCCAGGAAGACCCTGGACTTCAGAGCAGCAGGCAGGAGGGCCCGGCCCGGCCCACGAGAGGCTGCGGCGGGGGCGGGGGCGGGCTCCCCGGGCGGGGGCGGGCTCCGCGGGCGGGGGCGGGCTCCCCGGGCGGGGCGGGCTCCGCGGGCGGGGCGGGCTCCCCGGGCGGGGGCGGGCTCCAGCGCGGCGCTCCGCCTCTCGCTACGTCGCACTTCCGGTCCTTTCTGCATCCGGGGCACGAGTCTCCCGCCGCCCCCCGCCCCTCGCCGCCGTCACGGCTCGGGCGAGGCCCCTGACCGGAACCGGAAGCGGCCCCGAGCCCGGAGGCGGAAGCTCCGGCGGCTTGGTCAGCAGCTGGGCGCGGGGAGGCCGGGAGGCCGGCGGGCGGCGGTGGGGAGCCCCGGAGGCGGCCGCGCTGCTCCCTGCGAGCCGGCCCCGCGGCCAGGCGGGGGGCGCCGGGGCGCGGCGCCATGAAGCTCTACAGCCTCAGCGTCCTCTACAAAGGCGAGGCCAAGGTGGTGCTGCTCAAAGCCGCGTACGACGTGTCCTCCTTCAGCTTCTTCCAGAGGGCCAGGTAGGCGGGCGCGGCTGCTGGCCACGTGGAGCAGCGGGCATCGGGAGGCCCGGGTCAGCGTCAGGGCGGGATGGGGGCGCGGGGGCCCGGGGTCCGGCGGGGGCGGGGCCTTGGCCGCTGCCCCCAGGCCTGCGCTCCGGTCAGCGGACTGCACCCCTGCGGAAGCAGCCGCCGTCCCCTGCGTCCTGGGGTGGCGGCCGGACCCGGTGGTTTTCAGGTTCTTGGCATATAGAGACAGTGCAGGCTCGAAGGGTCACGCCCAGGGCTGACCTCGTCTGCTGCGGGCCAGCAGCCGGGTTAAAACCGCCGCCTTCCAGCCGGTCAGTGGTGCCGTCGCGAGAGCCAGCGGGGCGTCCCGGAGACCCCCACAGGCTCCCCGCCGCCACGGAGGACTCGGGTGGTGGTGGGCGCCGGGGCTGTCCAGCGAGGACTGCGCGGGCGGGGTGGGATCCGCCAGGCTTCCAGGGCCTGTGAAGTCGGGCAGGTGTGGACCAGGGGAGCCGCAGGTGCCGGAGGGTCGCTGTCCGTGGTCACCGCCGCCGGCCCCGTGTGCCCCGCTCTGTTTCTCCGGACAGTGCTGGCCGGGGCTGAAGGAATGGCTGTCGTTTTGTTGAAACCTTCTGCTCCTTCCTGTTAATTTTTCTTATATTGTGGTAAAGCGAGCACACACGTGCAGAAGTTACCATTTTCACCGTGAGACGCGTGCCATTCAGTGGCGTGAGCTGCGTTCAGAGCGTCGTCCGGCCCTGGCGCTGCGCGGCCGGCTCTTCCTCTTCGAAACTGGAACCCGCAGCCGTTAACACGGACTGCCCGATCCTCGGCCCGCAGTCACTGCCCGCCCGGTGCGGTGGACCCAGGGACCTGGGTCAGCCCCCGACGTGCCTGCCTTTGGGGACAGTGCCTGTTGTCCCCAAGGCTGGTCCACGCTGGCGCGCGTGTCAGCGTCGCCTGCCCGTTGGGGCCCGCACTGTCCCGCCGTGCGGACGCACCATTGTGCTTGTCCCAGCCTCTGCTCCGGGAGCCCTGCGCTGCGGCGCGGTGCCACGCACCCCTCGCCACCCCGCGGGCCGTTTGCTGCTGGGTGAGCTGTTGCGTCATCTCCTGGCTCCTGAGGGCCGCTCTGGGCCTTGGCATCCTTCTCCGTGTGGCTTCCAGTCTCTGTGCTGCTCTTCGGCGGTAGAACTCGGCAGGAGCGCCCGCGGGCACGCTCCTTCGCGGTAGTGCGGGAGCCCCTCTCTCCGCCCTCAGCCGCTGGGTCAGCGCAGACTTGCCGGGGGCGTCTCCGCTGGCGTCCCCTAGCGCGGGTCAGCCGGGCGCATTTTTGCCCACACCCTGCTCACTGCCTCGCCCCCTGCCCCAGGTTTCCCAGCCGCGTGGCCCCGTGTGCCTACGGCCCCCACAGTTACCGCAGCTCTTCTGTGTCTCACGACAGCCCTGCCATGAGTGCTGTCTTTAGTCGTACTGAAAGGCTTCCTCGTCTGGGGACTGTGTTTTCCACAGGGATTATTTCTTACTAGCAGGTACCGCCGTGTGTGCGAGCTGGTGTAGCCGCCGTGCCTGCAGGCACAGAGCAGTGCCGTGCTGGAGCGCTCGTGACCTCCCGAGTCGGGTGGGGAACGTCGGGGCCTGCCAGGGTAGCCACAGGCAGGGCTGGAAGTCCAGCAGACCTATAGCAGGCTGGGTTTGAGTTGTAATCGGTGTGGCCCGTGAATGACATCCGATGGCTCCCACCCCTGCTACGTGGTGGAGCTGGGGTCCACGGTCGGGCCTCAGTCCTCTGTGGCTCTGCAGGAGCCTTGCTGTGGACTTAGCGTTAGGGACGCTGCAACGCCGGCTGCATGCGTGGACTTAGCGTTAGGGACGCTGCGACGCCGGCTGCATTTGGAACACATCCCCAGTTGGAGGCTCCTTGTTAGCCTGGCCCTCCGGCTGGGCCGTCTCCTGGGACCGTTCCCTTCTGGCCAGTTCTCTGTGGGCACGTGGTGAGCCTCCTCCTCCTCAGCCTTCGTTTGACCACTTCCCACTTCCTTGCCTTGGCTAAGCCATTTCCTTCCATTCCTGTCCCGGGATGGGCCCCACGCTCCTGCGCTGGCTGTCAGCGCACTGTGTGGCACTGTAGGGCCCGTTGTGTGGTCACCGCCACCACTGGTTGTGCTCTTCCTAACCGTGTTCTGCCACTGTGTGTTTCCGGTGCGATTTATGTTTATCCCGTTTTGTGAAGTTAGTGGGCCTTGAGAACAGGAGCCACGGTTGCTTTCTCCATGTCAGTCACGCCCTGACCAAAATGATGCCTGCCCATGGCCTGTGGAACGCTCCCCAGAAGTCTGGGCGTGGCTGGCGCGCACCGGGCCGCAAGCAGGTGTGAGTGGTGCTGGTGATTGGCAGTCCCTGTACCTGGGTTCATTCAGGGTGTGTGTCTGTGTGTGTTGCTGGGGTTGCGGGGAGGAAGCGCAGTTAGCGGTCACTTCCCATCGTGTTGGGCACAGGGTGACGGGGAAGATGGTGAGTCTGTGCTGTGTTTCCCAGCGTCCAGGAGTTCATGACCTTCACAAGTCAGCTGATTGTGGAGCGCTCGGCCAAAGGCAGCAGAGCTTCCGTCAAAGAGCAAGGTAGGTGCCCCGCGGGGGAGCCCGTGCAGCCGGGCGCCCGGGCCCCAGCTCCCGGCTCCGTGGAGGCTGCCGGCCGCTCCGCCGCCAGCTCTTCTCTCACCCGCTCCTCCTTTGCTGCTGCCCCAGAGTTCCGTGCCTCACGCTGTCCTAAAGCTCGGACTGACTTAAGATTAGGGTGTGGATTCCCTTCAAATTCGGGCCCCTCCCTGGGAGCAGTGGGCCTGCGTGTCCTCCCCGCCCCTCCGCCCCTCCAGAGCAGCAGACCCCCCGGGGCGGGGTTTCCCGCTGGCGCTGTTGAGGTGAGCTTGACCAGGAATCTCAAGACTGTTTTTCATTTTTCATAATTCGGGTTCTGTGTAAGTTTTTTTTAAAGGTTGATTTGAAAGAGTTACAGAGAGAGAGAACTTGCATTCGCTGGTTCACTCCCCAGACGGCTGCAACAGCCAGGGTTGGGCCAGACCGAAGCCAGCAGCTTCTTCCGGTCTCCCACGTGGGTGGCAGGGGCCCAAACAGCTGGGCCATCTTGATTTTTCCCAGGCGCATTAGCAGGCAGCTGGATCAGAAATGGATCAGTCAGGACACGAACCGGGGCCCATATGGGTTGCCGGCATCTCAGGTGGCCTCACCTGCACGCCACAGTGCCAGTGTCTCGTGTGAGATTTCCTAAGCACTGACGTACACACACAGGCCAGGCAGGAGCTGCGGAAGCAGAGCGTCTCACCCGCACTGCCCTCAGTCACGTGGGGTGGAGCGTCAGGCCGGTGCAGGCGGTGGTCAGCGGGTGCTCCCCGTGGGTCGCTGTGCCCTGAACCCCACAGAAGGGAAGCTCAGCTGCACACACCTCAGCAGCCCCGCCTTCCCCTCGGCCATCGGCCCACCAGCTAGATTCCCTGGAGACGGCTCCTCTGGTGCTGACCAGCCTCTGTTTTAGGGGTCTGTGCACTTGGACCCACGTGCCCGTGCCTCCTCCTCCTGCTCCTCGCCCCCCACCGCTGTGCTCACTCTCAGGAGTCACTCCCTCCTTTCCTTCTGCTGCTCTGGGTCCAACTCGTGAGGACAGGGCCTGTGACCCCTCCTGTTCTCTCGTCTGGGGGCAGAGTTAGCCGTGGTGAAAGCAGAGGCCCTGAGACCGTGACACTTGGCGCAGGCTCCCTCTTGACCACACGACGGCTGCAGCACAGTAACGCTGGAGACCTGGGCCGTGTCACGAGGTTTGGACACAGGCCCTGCTTTCCCCAGCACCTGCTGCAGAGCGGCGCCGGCACGCACACTGGTTGTAGCACAGGAGACTGGGCCAAGAGGCTGCCCGGCCTGTCCAAGGTGCCCTCGATCTGGGAACCAGGCCCGCCTGGAGCTCAGGGGTGTGACTTGGCAGCGCTCCTGGGCCGTGCTGTCTGGGCCGTGCTTTCTGTAGCTCTGGAGGCTGCTTCAAACCCTGGTGTTGCTCACGAGGCTTCCGGGTACTTCCTGGTCCTTCAGCAGGTATTGGGCCAGACCGCGGCCCCCTCGCAGACCTCACTCAGAGCTGTTGAGCTGCAGGCTTTGTCCCAAAAGCAGGAGCCAGCTCTGTGACCCCTTGACCTGTGTGTGCCCGTTGTCTTTCCAGAGTACCTGTGCCATGTCTATGTCCGGAATGACAGTCTCGCGGGTGTGGTCATTGCTGACAGTGAGTACCCGTCCCGGGTCGCCTTCACCCTGCTAGAGAAGGTGAGTGTGCAGCTTCGTGGCGAGCATGGAGCGTAGTGGACAGTGCCTGAGGCCTGGGTAGAGCGGTCCGGAGTCTGCATGCCTCAGCCCCCCATCCCCTGAACCGGAAACCACGGTGGCATCCCTGCCGGGTGCCTGCCCCGTGCTGGCTCCCACCGCCCTCCTGCCTGCCCAGGCTGGGAGTTGCAGCATCCCGCATCCCTGCTAGCACGGCCCTCAGAGACGGCCGTGCCTCCCGCTTCTGCTGCTGTTCCGTTCCCACAGCTGTGCCTGGGCTTCTCCCGAGGGGCTGCCTCTCCCTGGGCCCCCGCGGTCCTGCAGCTCTGCCCAGCCCGGGCGCCGTGGGCTCAGAGTCTGAGCGTCTGTAACTCCTGCCTGGGTGCTGATTAGAAACTGCTCGAAGCCAGGCCTCATCCTGCCCCTGAAGCACCAAGGCGTTTGCAGGCGCGGAGGTCAGATGGCGTTTAAACCAGAGGACTCCGTCTGTGTCGAAGAATGACTTTGGGAAATTAGACAGCCAGCGCCCTCTCTCCTGGCAAGCTAGTGTAAAACGCAAGCCCCTTTCTCATTCCCCGGGTGAGGGCCCCCCCAGGCTGGGCAGACATCATTCCTGGCTCCCTGATGATAGGGGCTTTTTAACTGATGAGATCCCGCCCTTCCCGCCTGGGCTCCAGGGGCCTGGCAGCGTCTTCAGGGTGAGGTGCGTGCCTGAAGCCTTTGCTGAGGGAGCCAGGGGCACGGCTGAGACGTGTGGCTCGCGTGTCTCGCAGGTACTGGACGAGTTCTCCAAGCAGGTCGACAGGATAGAGTGGCCAGTGGGGTCCCCTGCCACAATACAGTACACGGCACTGGACGGTCACCTCAGCAGATACCAGGTAGGGAGACCGCGTGGCCTGGGTGGCCTGACCTGGGGGCTTCTCTCTGAGGCCAGTGTTCTCCCTCGGGCCTCGTGTCTGCCTCCTCAGACCCGGGAGCCCGGGCCCTCCGCAGGCTGTGTGTCTGCTGTGTGTTTAAACAGGCTGTCACGTCTCACTGGTGCAGCTCTGTCCAGCGTCCTTGGTTCGAACTTTGTTTCCAGGTAGCCACTGCAGTCCCGACTTTGTTATTCCTGGCTCTTTCCTAGAACCCTCGAGAAGCAGACCCCATGACTAAGGTACAAGCGGAACTAGACGAGACCAAAATCATTCTGGTAAGCAGGAGGGGTGAGCGAGGGCAGTGCTGCGGGCTGGGCCCGGCGGCCTGTGCGGGCTGGGCCCGGCGGCCTGTGCAGGCTGGGCCCGGCGGCCTGTGCGTGCCGGCGTGGCCCCTGGGGCCGAGCGGCGCCCTGGAGCAGAGCCTGGGGACCTGCATGCCGTCGGAAGCTTCCGGGTGGCTTCCCGCACGGGTCTGCGGGCCGCGCCCTGAGCGGTGTGGCTTTGGGGCGGAAGGTGGCCGTGGAGGTGCTGAGACGGCGCTGTGTCCTCCGGAGCTGTGGAGCTGCCGGCTGCTGTCTGTCCATGTTCCCCGCCCAAGCCTTGCCCTCCCTCTGCGGGTGGCTGCGGGGCTGTGAGCGCCCAGGGCCCCGGCATCCTGCTACCCTCCCACACCCCGCACGGAGAGCCGCCGAGGCTGTTGGTCTCCTGCTCCAGCTGGAGGAGAATCTGGGCTGTGGTGTCCGTGTCTCCATCCTGCGCACTTAGCGCAGACGTTCGAGCTGCTCACCTCCGTCTGGGATAAAGCACTGTGTCCTGCTGACTGCTCCTGTGCCTTTACCCCGGGTGGCGCTGCTCTGGCACGGCCGCCGGGGGTAGAAGGGGCCACTGCCTCCTCGTGGCTCCACCCCAAACCCACCAGAACCAGACTGTCTTGGGAACATCTGGGCTACAGCCCCTTAGGGAAGCAGCACGTGCTGTCACGGTGCAGTGGTCGAGTGTGACGCACTGAGTGTCTGACTTGCGTGTGTGTGATTGTGAATTCCGTAGCAGCCATACTTTAAAATGATAAAGGGAAAATAGTTGAGATTTATTGGACCCATTTCATGCACCTGTGATCTTCTCAGTGTGTAAGCAGCGTGAACAGCCCTGGGTTTTGCGCGCTGGGTCTCAGTGTCTGGAAGCCGCTGTTTGCCCTGGATGTGTTTCTGGACTCGGGGCCACGGCCAGAGCACACGCACAGCTTTACCGCTGTTAGTTTGCTATGGCCGCAAACAGGCACCCCCAATCTGGATGACGTGAGACAGCAGCGGACCCCCTGCAGTCTGCAGGCCCCAGGTCTGGGATCCAGGTGTGTGGAGGGCTGGTTCCCCGTGCTCGGGGCCTGCCTCCAGTTTCTGCATCCCCGGATGGCAGCTGCGGCCCTCGTGCCTCTGCTGTCCTCACGAGGTGGTGCCTCACTTCTCTGCCCTTCTCTCTTGGAGGACACCGGTCAGGGCTTCAGGTTCACGCTAATCCGTGTGTCATCCTAACTGTGACCTTGCAAAGACCTCACTCCCAAGTAAGGTCACGTTCAGGGGTTTTAGACGGCCGTGCATCCTGGGGAGTCCGTCTCCAGCCCAGTGTAGCCATAGAGTGCCTGTAGCTTTCTTCCCCTAGAACCTGTACGATGCACGTAGCAACACACCCAGGTTAATATAACTGCGGGCACGGGGCTCATCTGATCCCGTGTGGGGACAGTCCTGGGGCAGCGTGCACTGTCACAGTGAGAACTAGACTCCCGGGAGAGCCACGTCCTGCTGCACCCACTGGGACGGCTGCGGTCCTGGGACCGAGTCCCATCTCAGGTGCCACCTGTGTTGGAGGGGAGCCAGCGGGGTGCCTCCCCGACACTGAGCTGCCGTGCGAGGCTCTCCCTGAGCACAGGGAAAGGTTCTTGTCTGTCTTCCGTCCAGCACAACACCATGGAGTCTCTGTTAGAGCGAGGGGAGAAGCTGGATGACCTGGTGTCCAAGTCGGAAGTGCTGGGAACACAGTCTAAGGCCTTCTACAAGACTGTGAGTACCACGCTGGCTTCCGAAGGGCACCCCACTCTGTGCAAGGGTCCTCTCAGCCACCCGTCCAGGGGGACTTGGGCTGCCCTCAGTGTCCAGCTCATGACCCCTGCTTCACACAGGCCGCGTCCTGAGCTGTGAGCAGCCTTGCTGTGCCTGGCTCAGCCCGCCCCTTCTCGCCCCACCCCTGGAAGGCAGAGGTTAGTTTAACCTCCACTCGGCACGGTTCGCCCTTGTTGTTCTGCCTGCGAGTGTTTGGTGTAAGACGCCAGCAGGTGACCTGTGTTGCCCTCCCTTTGACGAAGCGTGTCATCGGTGCGGCGGTTGCTGTTGACCGCCTGGTCTCGGGCCAGCGTTCACGCGACTGCTGTTGGTGGCCGCTGGCTGGGACTGGTGTACCTGGTCTTTCCTGACATCAGCTTTCGTGTGCTTTGGGAAATGGCTGGGTGGGGTGTAGCGGGCAGTGGGAGCAGAAAGCAAGAGAGGTGGTACCGGCTGTCCCCGCAGACCTGAATGGGGCCGCGTCTGCCCGGGGGAGGAGTGGGGGCGGGTACCGAGATGCTGAGCCGGCCCTTTGCTTCTACCTGGCCTACCAGCAGGAGTTCCACTTCTGGGTAGCATTAATAGGGTGTGGGGAGAAAAGACAAGGTTCCTGGAGCTGCACTGGATTCTGTGGGTCCCCCTGCGCCTGGGGTGGGGGAGCCTGTGGCTGGCAGCCGCCCAGAGGCCTTGAAGGCACCCCAAGTCTGTTCCCGCTTCGCTTCCTGGCGCGTCCGCCCTGCACCCCTCAGCTCCTTCCTTTCTTCCTTTCAAGGCCCGGAAGCAGAACTCCTGCTGTGCAATCATGTGACGCAGCGTGCGCGGCCGCGCTGGGCCGTCACCGTCATCACATCAGGACCGCAGCCCGGACGGGAGAGGCCCCAGGTGGGGCAGCCTGGCCATTTTTATTCTGGAATTTCTGGAAGGACCCACGGGGTGGTGGAGGGGTGGGGACGTTCGCATTCGTATGTCTGGTGATTTTTCGAAAGACTCTGAGGCCTCTGACGGTGTATTTTTGGGCAAATGAAACCATAAACTGAGTGGCTCCTGTGGGTACTGAAGGGCTGATCCCGGCCACCCCGGAAGTTCAGAGCCAGCTCTTGTTTGATCCTGGTATGTCTGGATTTTATTTGTGCATTAACGATACTAACTCTCCAGGAAGCGGGGTGGGGGTGGGAGCCTCCCGTGACAGGGCCGGTGGGCAGTCAGCACCTGGGGAAGCTGCCGCAGGAGCGGGCGGCCCAGCGCCGGGCCTGGAGCCTGGCAGCGGGCCAGCACTCGGGCCCAAGGACGCGGGGCATCGCCTGCGCTGTTCACCTGCCTGTGCCAGGGCCGCCCAGCTGACACTTGATGCAGATCCGCTCTTGGGGGTGTGAGTCGTGTCCCGGCGCGTGGGGTGTGTTCCGGTGGAAGACCCGCACAGGTGATTCGCTGGCCTGAGGCGGGCGCGCTGCCTTGGCTCGGAGTTTGACTTGAACATCCAGCTGGAAGCAGCAGGTGCCGCCGTCTCGGAACGCAGGACTGCGGGTGCCTGAGCACATGGGCCCTTCCGTGGGCCCAGCAGTTGGAGTGCTCCCATCACCCGCCTGTGGTCAGGGGCAGGCTTGGTCCAAGCTGGCCCCTGCCCCCGAGGAGGCCACTGTGACCGCGGAAACCAGGTGCCCTCGTGCCAGTGCCACATTCCAAGCCGCCTCGTCACGCCCCACTGCACTCAGCCTGCACCCCTGGGGTTCAGTCCCCTCGTCGCTGGACAGTGTCATCTGCGAGTTTTGAGCCAGTGTGGCCACATCCTCCTGAGCCTACCACATTGCTCTGGCAGCTCCCACTGTCCCCACGGGAGGGCCTGGTGGCCCTGACTCCCTGACGGGGTGAGAGCACAGTCGGGGGGGGCCTTATTCTTGTTCTGAGGGCTCCCTGGCTGTTCTACCTGCAGCTGCCTTTTGTCTCCGGCCCCTGGGCTTGCCCAAGGGCTCCAGCTTACCTGCCATGGCCTGCTCAGGTCACTTCCCACTGCTGCAGAACCCCCAGCCGGGGCCCTCTGGGAGGTGCAGACCCAGCCCACACACTGGGGCCTCAGGTGGAGGGGGGGGACCCGGATCCTGCAGGAGGAGGAGTGCTGGGGCATCACCTCTGCACGTCTGCAGAGGATGCTGGGAGATACGGGGTGGAGGTGTGAACTTGGAGGAAGAGGGAGACCTTTGTCCACAGCCCCTGGCCCAGCAGGGCAGCGGGGGCAGGTGGGTCTGACTCTGGCCCTGTCTTTGATGGGCACCCGCCCCATGCTTCCCTGCTCCCTGCTGTATTCGGAAGTCAAATCATTGGTGAGAGTGTATTTTAATAACTGCTGCCTCACTTCTCTGTGTTCTGTTTGAGAAACTCCCGTTGGGATAAAATTGTCTTCTGAAATTCCAAGGTGGTTGTGTGCTTTGTCTGTCTCGGGGGAGCCTTTTTGCCTTTGCCCTAGTCGGAGGCTGCATCGGGCTCCTGCGGTGGCTAGGCCTTGGCAGCAGGAGCCACCTCTGCTGTTACCCAGGTCCGGGAGCCCTGTATCAGCGCCCCGTCATCAAGCCTGGCCCTGGGAGAACTGCCTCCTGGAGGCCATGCCTGATGCGTGAGAGACCACAGGCTCCCCACCACCCACCACAGGGGGAGACTAATAGGGTGTGTGGGGACTCCAAGCAGAACTGGCCCTGCAGGCCAGGAAGTGAACCAGGGCAGTCAGACCCGGGTCTGGAGTGTGGTCTGGAGTGTAGGGAGTGGCCCGGATGGCTGCTCACTGGAGGGTGGAGGCCTCTGCAGCCTCTGATGTGTCCCAGGCAGGAGGCCCAGGCCTCGCTTTGAGCTTCTAACCCTTGTGTCCAGTGACCTCCGCCTGGCCAGCGGTAGTCCCAGACTGCAACACCAGCGTTTCCTGTTAGGGGACCAGCCTGAGCTGCCTTGGGGTGACAGGTGGCCCAGGGAGCTTGACCCAAAGTAGGTGCTGTTCAAAAAGCCCCTCACGGTGTCCTTGGGTACAGCACCTGGCCCCACACGACATGCCTCAGCCTGGTATACTGTACCCCGAAACCTTCCAGAGCTGTCTCAGGAGTAAGGCATGCTGGGACCTGGGGCTGCGGTGTGCAGCCTTCCTGGGGAGGCCTGGCCTGGAAAAGCTCCGATTACAGCTGATAGGCAGCAGGCCCGAGATACGGTGCCTGGGGACGGATGCCACCACGCTCCTGCTCATGGGCACTGGCCTAGATTCTCTGCTCCAGTTTATGGGACCAGCACCCCCACAAGCACGCGCCTGAGGGCAGCTGCCGGGTGCAGCTGCAGAGCCAACACTCGAGAAGCTGGCTGGGGCTCTGGCTCGTCTGGGGACTCCAGGTGCCCCCAGCTCGAGGGTGGAGACACCCATCTGATCAGAAGCAGCTTGGACCCAAGGGGCGGGTGCCGTGGAGGCCCAGCGGCAGCCGAGGGGCCTGTTTCTCCTGCAGAGCGGCTGGGGGAGCAGCGGGACCTGGGGGCACCTGTCCCCTTGCACCAAGGCTGTCAGCCTGCTCGTGGCTCCTCGTCCCCATGCTCCCTGCCCACCTCCGGCGTTGAGAGGTGGCTGCGTGCCGTGTCCCATCTCAGCATAACCTGCGGGAGTGAGGACCAGTGGCCGTGAGCACCGCGGTCAGCGTCCAGTGCAGCCCCCACGTGTCAGAGGGGGAGGGGGGCAAAGGGAGAGGCTCCGCAGCATCAGGGGTCCTTCCCACCAGGAGGCCACTGGGAATGGGCCTGGGTCTGTCATAGGCCATGTCCACAGGGTCCCCTACAAAGCACACAGCCCCCTGGAAGCAGCTTGTCCTGTTTTTCTTTTATTTGCAGTTTCCCGAGACAGAACAAAATAAGAATAATCTTTGTACACTTACAAGGCTCAGAAAGAAAAGACAATGAAACCCAGCAAAAAGAGGGAGACGGCCAGCACTGTGGGCGGCCGACGCCACCACACCGCGGACACCTCGCTAGCAGAGTGCGTGTGGGTTGCTCTTTAAGGGTCATGCAAAAGAATTATCCCCCAGAAAAAAATCTCCAAATTATCCCAGACAGGCAGCTCCGTGGAGAAACAGGTGGGTGGGAGAGGAGGGGAGGAGGCCCCAGGATGCCAGGGTGGCCAGCCGCGGGGCCACACGCTGTCCGTGGCCAGGAAGCCACTGGAGTGAGCCTGGCAGATGTTACCCTGTGTCCTTGGATGGGGCGGCTGTCCGGGCACAGCGTGGACAGGAGGTGCCGTCCACTGTGTCTGGGTGGACACTCCCCTTGGAACTGAGGGTCCTGTGTCCCATTCCCCACTCCGAGGCCCTCCCTTGGCTTGACTTGTGGGAAAGATAAAGAAAATACTTGTTGAAAACAGAAGTTTCAGGTGGCCAGGCATTGGGACAGAGGCCACTGATCCTCCGCAGTCAGGGCTCCTGACCACCTGCGTCCCCTCGGGCCCTCTCTGGCCCCACTCTGGAGGGGCCGGGAGGTACAAGGACGGCCCCCCGAAGCAGCACTATGGGCCCCGCAGACCCTCCCCTTCACCTGTAGATGTTCTGGGCTAGCACCCAGGGTCTCTGTCCCCACTCCGTGGCCTCATCACAGCCACCTGGAAGGGCCCTCACACATCTGCACCTGCCAGTCCTCGCCCTTGCTGGCGCCCCCTGTGGACGTCACTGTTCTCTGCCCCAACGCGAGTGCCCCACTGCAGCAGACACCTGCCCAGACCCTCGCCTGGCCCGGCCCGGGAGCCCCCAGCCCTGCTCTGACCACTGCCACTCGCTGCGTCACCTACCCAAGCTGTGAGCCGTCCAGCCACCCTCTGCAGGGGGACAGCCCAGACCTCCCAGCATGTGTCGGGGACTTGAGACCCACAGCCCTTTGCCATCTGCTGACACTCGGAGGAGGGCTGCGGGGTGGCAGGAAAGGGACAGGCACCCCATGGGACAGAGGCCAGCTGCAGCCAGCGGGTCCTCGGTCAGCCTGCCGAGAGCAAGGCCTGGAGCCGAGGGAAGTCCTGCACCTCCCTCCCCGGGAGACCCCGGGCTGGAGCCCAGGCCAGGCCTCTCTGATGGCCTGGAGGCTGGTCCAGAAGCGAGGGCCGTCCACGGACAGGGGGCTCCGGGCCCAGCAAGCCTTCACCCAGCCCTTCACGGGATGGGGGGAGCAGAGAGAAAGCAGACAGCGGCTTCAGGCACCACTAGCGGGAAGGCAGCAGCCCGCGGACACAGCCCTCCGAGGCCCGCCCACGGGGCCATGCTTGCCGGGAGCAGCGCGGGAGCGCACGCACAAGCTCACACCGTCCACGCGGGGGCCCACGGGCCACATCCCGACCGCGGACCCCCAGGGCCAAGGGGGCGCCACAGACACTCATGGAGCTGGGCAGGCGTGGCCCGCAAACACCAGTGGTTTTTACAGCGTTTTCCTTTCTTGAGTTTTTGTTTCCATTTTTCATCCGATGTCGTTTTTTTTTTTTAATTTTTTTTTTTTTTTTGTGGTTGTCACGGTCGTCATCTCACTTTTGAGAACGAATCACATCTGGTCTTGTTTTTCTGCAGACACAGGCACCAGGGGAGGGGACGAGGCAGACACAAACATGCGACAGGCAGGCCGTGCCGAGGGCGGCCGGGCTCCCACACCAACTGTCCGGCGACACCAGGCGTGGCTCTGCAACGGGCCGGGGTGCGCGCAGGGTCACGGGGCTCCGCCCGCACCCCCGCGCGGCCGTCCGCGGGCCGCCCGCCCCGCCCGGCGCCCGGGCTCACCTCACTGCAGCGGGGCCACGGGCGCGCCCGAGCAGTGGAAATGCACGTTCTGCCACTTGCCGTCGCGGCGGTGCCACACGCGCGTCTCCTCCGACTGGCTGGTGCGCGGCCGGCCCTGCCCGTCGATGTACTGCGTGAGGCGGATGTAGGCGATGCAGGCCGCGTCCTCGCCGATCACGTGCACGTGCGGGTTCAGGATGGTGGTGTGGATGGGCTTGCTGTTCTTGGCCAGCACTGCGGGCGCGCGGCGTGGGGGTCGCAGGTGGACCCCCGCCCACGTGCCCACGCCGCCCCGCCCGCAACGTGCGCCCCCTGCGTGCCCCGCCCCCAACGTGCCCCCAAACGTGCACCTACCCCCTCCACTTGTGCCTCCCCTTCCACGCGTGCCTCTCCTGCGTGCCCCGCCCCCAAGGTGCACCTCCCCAACATGCCCCGCCCCCAACGTGCACCCCCGCCCTCCACACGCGCCTCCCCTGCGTACCCGCCCCCAACGTGCACCCCCCCCCCGTCCACGCGCACCTCTCTTGGGTACCCCACCCCCCAGGTGAAGGGGGCTCAGTTCCCAGGGCTGGGTGCTCAGGCCCTGGACGGGCAGCAGCCAGCAGGGCCTGGCCAACCCTGGGCCGGCCGGGGGTCGGGGTGCGGGCAACAGGTGCCGTGGGCGGCCACGGTGGGGTCCCTGGCCCGGGGGGACACCTCACTCACGGTTCTCGAAGTAGAACCTGTGGAAGTCCATCCCTTCCACCAGGTTGCCCAGCGCTTCGGGCTCGAACGAGGTCAAGCCTGGGTCGCAGATCTTCCTGAGGGGCAAACTCCAGTGAGGAGGGCTGCGCTCCTTCTGCGCCCGTCCCGCCCCCCGCCCCCCGGGGACTCACACGTAGGCCTCGAAGTCCCCGTTGTTGACGGCTTCGATGAGCTGCTCTGTGGTCTTGATGATCTCCTGCTTCCGGGCTGCGGGGAGACGGCGCCGTCACGCCTGGGCCCGGGCTGACCCGCCCTGCACGGCCCCCGGGGGCCCCTCCGCGTCCCGGCACCTGTCCAACCGCGGCCCACAGGCTCCCAGCACCTCACCAAGGGTCTCCTAACTTTTCTCAGGAGAGGCCACTCCATCTGTATCGCAAAATGCAGGAAAAGCAGCCACCTTCCCGCCCCACGGGGGCTGTGTCCACCTAGGGTCGGCCTCCGGCCACCATGGGGGCCGCGTCCACCAGGCCTCATCCGGGGCTTCCTGGCAGCCCCCACCCTGTGACCTGCCCCTCCGGCTCCACGTTCCACTTGTGTGTCCACAGGGCTTCCTTCCTCCTAAAACTCTGGGAATGGATACTGAGGTATGTACCAGGCTAGGAGACAGAGACCGCTGCCTCTGGAGGCCACGGGGAATCCTGGGCAGGAAGGGGGAGGGGCTGGAGCGGTACAGCTGGGGGTGATGGGGGGGGGTCCCAGCGGGACTGGAAGTGCAGAATCTGCCCCCTTTGTCTCACTGGACGCTGCAGCTGCTGGCTCCACCTGCTTACAGCCCTGCACAGCCCCTCTTCGGTTCTGCTGTTCTCAAGCCCCACGTGTGTCCAGGGCACCGGCCAAGGCTGTCCCCCCGCCTCCAGGGCACTTGCTGGAAGCCCACTTTGCTGCTTTAATGCTAATTTCTGTCTGTTAACACCTGGGCGAGGTGGTGAGCACAAAGTGTGCTGTGCATGTGAGTGTAAGGGCATCAACAGATGCACACTTGTGCGCACACATGTGTGCATACATGTGCATGTGTGTGCGTGTGCACACCATCTGTGTGCTGTGCATGGACGTGGAGGTGCAGGCACCTGTTCGCGTGCGCATGCGTGTGCTGTCAGGCTGGCCCTGTCACCTGACCCGGCCGCACTTCCCCTACCTGACTTTGCTCTAAACCATGTCACGGTCTGGGCTCCGCGCACTCTCACTGTAGACGCCCAGTCCCTCCCACGGACGCCATCTGCCCCGGAAAGCCCACCTCTAGGAGGCTGAGCTGCAGGCTCCGGAGGCCCCTCTCCACTCCCACATCTGCCTGCTCAGCTCCTGGAGGGCACCGAGGCTCTGTCCCAACCCATGCAATGGTCATTGCCGTCTGGGCCCCGGGCCACATCTGACCCCAGGCCCCATCTCAGGCCTGCTTGCTTCGGCCAAGCATCCGTCTCTCCCCTGGCACCTCACCTTCCACTTGTCCCTGTCCTTTCTGGATATGGCTGCAAGCTGCAGACCTGGCCCTCCAACCCTGGCGGCTGCCCGGCCCTGCCCTCCCTGTCAAGGGGTGTCCGCAGGTCCCAGGCACCCCCCAACACTTGCTCATCCTCCGCGCAGAAAGCCCTAGGCACGGGTGGCACACTCTGATCCTGCAGTCACCTTATACCTGCGGTACGCGAAACCGATCCATCTTCCCCAGGAGGAAGTCATAGCACGCGTTTTTAAACAAGTTGTAATTAAAGTGGCAGGCCGTGTGCAGAAACGGGCAGGCAGCCATAAAAGGTGGGGACTGCACTGGAGTCGGGGAGATCGGGTTAGAGGGAGAACAGAGAGGAAGCTGCGGCTCCCGACCTTGGACCGGCTACACCTGGCCCCCAGAAGGGGAACCCCAGGGGTGAGGCTGAGGTGGTGGGTGCGGTCCGGCCCGGGACGGCCTCCCATGCCCAGGTGAACCAGGCCTCGCGCTGCCCGTGGCTCTCTTGGGGGCGGCTGGCCGGCCAAGGGAGGCCCAGAGCACCCAGCTATGACCCCAGGTGGCCCCAGGTCCTGGTCCTGAGAGCCAGCAGCAGCTGCCTGGGGATCAGCCTGGATCAGCCTGGATTGGGCATAATCCCCGATTAGGGGGTGCAGCTTGGGGTGCTGGGCGCTGGGAGGGGCTGGGTCTGAGGTGGGCGGTGGGTCACTAGTGGGTCCCTGTGCTATCCGTTCACTAAGACGGCTGGCCCACGACCCACCTGTAGGGAAGCCAGGAGCCGGCTGCAGTGCCCTCTCCCCCCAGGGCTCCCTGGAGTCCCCCCCCCCCCCCGCCCAGCTCTGGCCTGCCCCTCCCAGGGTGGCAAAGAAGCCCCTCACCCCAGTCCTGCTCACAGCCCCCTTTTTCTTACTCAGCCTCCCCTCGCCGAGCCCAGGACAGACCCTGGAGGTGACCTGTCCGCTCAGCACCCACCCTGCTGCTGCACGGCCTCAGGGTCTCACTTGGGGCCAGCCTCCTCCACACGGGCAGCAAAGGCCCCTGGAGATGGGGTTGGGGGCTCCGACTACTCCCAGAGGCTCGGCTGTGCGCCCACCCCACGCCTCCTATGTGGACTCTCCACCCCCACGGCCCCAACACCACAAGAACCCATCTCTCACCGCACAGTGCCCCGCAGCCACCCCGGGGTCCCCTGCTCGACCGCAGACGCTTGAGGGGTGCCCTCCAGGGGCTGCCTCACCCTGGCCACCACTCCGCGCCTTCCCTCTCCCACCCCTCGGCCCGCCCGACACAGGGACTCACCCAGCCACTGGCCTGCCATGCCCAGCCCCTGGCCCAGCGGCCTCTTCTCTGACAGCATCCCGGCGCCACCCCCAGCCGGAGTCTCCAGGCAGCAGGCGGGGGAGGCGCCGGCTGCAGCCCTGGGATGTCATCCATCCCTGTAAGCGATACTGGCAGCCGCACGCACACTGGGTACGGCGCAGCCGCGCCACCTCTCCACCCGCCTTTGCCCTCAGTCACCAGGGCCTTGCCCTACTGCCCCCAGCCTGCACCCCCGGAGTCCCCTGCCTGCTCCTTCCGGACTGCCCTCCTCGCCTACAGTTCGACCCAGGCAGAGCCCTCCCCACCCCCAAGCGGGGGGCCTTGGGGCAAGCAGGCTGCCACGAGGGGGGGCTCCTGCTTTCTGTGCCGCAGCATGATCCCCTGGGCCACCAGGAAAGAGCCGAGGACCACAGGGAAGCCAGTGGCCAGGCCGGCCCCCACGCGCTGTTCCAGACGCCGGCCCCCACGCAGGCATCCACACACCTCCGCTTGTGCGCCCGGTCACTTCCCCACGATGCCGCAGAGGGACCCCGGGCCCCGCTCCGTGAGCTGGCCCTTTGCTGGACGAAGCTGGCCCCAGGCCTCTCAGGTGCTACTTACACGGGGCGGGCAGGGGGCCGGGGAGAGTCGGAGACGGGCAGGGCAAGGGCCCCACAGGTGGGGGGCCCTCAGCTTCGGGGGTCCCCGAGCCCCTCCTCACCGAGTTCAGGATGTCAGAGATCCTGGGGGCTGGGGTGGAACAGACAGATGAGAACACAGGGGGTGGGGCATGCAGGGGAGACGGACAGACGGACAGCCGAGCCAGACAGCGGGCGGGGACGACGGGGACAGGGGGTGACATGGAGGATGGGCAGGGGCACGGAGGCACACAGGGAGCAGATAGGACAAGGGGTGTGGGACGGAGGGATGGGGGTGTCAGGGCTGAGAGGAGAGTGAGGGGGCACAAGGGACATGGGGAGAAGGTTCCAGAGTGAGCAGCGGGTGTTCTGCGGTCCAGAGGCTGGACTGGAAGCTCCCTGGACAGTGGGTCCCTCCCAGGAGAGGCAGCATGGCCTCAAGGAGCCAGGGGACACGGAGGGCAGGTGAGTGTCCCTGGGGAGGGCTCCAGGAGGGCCAGAGGACCCAGGAGGAAGCAGGCCCGGCCACGCCTCACCTCCTTGTCCCTGAGCTCCGGGACCCTGGCCGGGGTTCCCCTTCCAGTTCCCTCTCCAGTCCCCCACGTGAGGAAGGGCTCTGGGCTTGGGGTATGACAGGGACTGGAGACGGTCACTCCCGTGCAGTGACCAGGTGGATCACTGGAAGTCACAGCAGAGACGGCCCGAGGGGAGCGGAGGGCTGCCTGGGTATGGGTCAGACCCCTCGGGAGCCGTCCCCGGCCGACAGGGATGTGCACGGGCTGTGGGGGTGGGAGGTGAGCCAGGGAGGGCTGGGCCCTGCAGGGAGAAGCCGGGTGCTGTGCTGCCCAGTGAGTGCCCGTGCTTCGGGAGGCAGCCGGGCCCGGGGGCAGCTGGGCCGTGCAGGGCGGGCGCGAAGCTGTGGGCGCCGGCCATTCGCAGCGAGCAGCAGGCCTGCAGCCACTACTTACACGGGGCGGGCAGGGGGCCTAGGAGCACCGGAGACGGGCAGGGAGGGGGCCCCGCTGACAGGGGGCCCTCGGCTTCGGGGGTCCCCGAGCCCCTCCTCACCGAGTTCAGGATGTCAGAGATCCTGGGGGCTGGGGCGGAACAGACAGATGTGACCAGAAGGCACAGACAGACAAGGAGGTGGCAGAACCGAGAGGGGGGGCCCTGCTCGCTCCCTGACAGGCCTGGGGGGGCCCCCGCCGGCAGCTAGAAGGCGCCGAGCAGGGCCAGCCCTGGCGGCTGCAGAGCCCAGGCCGAGGCTCCTGGGCCTCCTGTCCTGCACAGAGGTGGGCGGGGCGGCCTCCCTCAGGCCGGGGGGGCTCACTCTCACCAGGAGCCACACGGCGGGGAGCTTGGAGAGTCCAGGCTGCACCTGCTCTCGGCTCTCCTCACAGGGGGTCGCCAGCCCCCCACCTCCCCAACAGCAGCAGCAGGGGGCTTGGAGGGACCTCCATGGGGCCAGCACAGAGCTTCAGGAACTAACACCAGGCAGGGCGGGGCCCTCCGCCTGCTGGGCTCCTGAGCGCCTCCCCACAGAGCTCAAGACAGCAGGGACCTGGAGCCCGGGGCAGAACACACGGCCGCTGAGGGGGCTGGAGGACCACAGACACCCCCACCCAGGCTCTGACCCCGCCCCCAGCGTGCCAGGGCCCAGGGCAGCCCCAGCAGGTACAGGAGGCTGAGCCGCTTCAAGGGGGCTGCATGTACTGCCCCCCCGAGGTGGGGGCTTGCCAGGGAGAGAGGTGATGGCCGCCCCAGGGCATGACGGCCAAGGCTGCCCTGACTCAGTCCTGGTCACAGGCCGGCCTGCTGGGGGCTTCTCTACACTGGGTGGGTGGCAGCGCTGAGGCAGGAGGATGGGGGGGCTGCCTCGACCTCTGAGGCCACAGAGCCATGTCTGCTGCCTCTCAGCCCTTCCTCTCCCTCCCCTGCAGCCCCGAAGCCCGGCCACTGTGGAACCCTGGACGTGGATGTCCGGGCGGCCTCCAGGCTGTGTGCAGGGAATCACAGACCCCGGAGCACAGCTCTGTGCTCAGCCCCGTCGGAGCGGGGTGGGGGTTGCTTGGAGGCAGCAGCACGGCTGGGGGGAGGCAGACCCCTGGGGCTATCCTGAGGGCAGCACAGGGCCTGAGGCCTGAGCGGGCCGCACCCAGGGCCAGTGCCAGCGCCCTGGGGTCATCCTGGGGGTCACCCCTGAGCCCACACTAGTTCTTTGAGCACAGCCTACAGGGGGACCAAGGTCTGCCCCCAAGCGGAGAACTGGCCCCACAGCACCACCAAGACCTCCCCGCTGGGCGTGGCCTCTGCTGCAGCCTGGGACCTGGGAGCCCCGGGGGACAGGTACCTTTGGCGTCCTCATCCTCTATGGTGGTGTTCGTGCTGTCGGAAGACTCCTGGGAAACGGGAGGCGGCAGTCAGGACACAGCCAGGCAGGACCAGGAGGCCAGGAGCTCGGGGCCACACCCTCCCACCGCCACAGGGCCCCACCCCAGGAAACCCTCCAGGTGGCAACGAGAGGAGGACGTGGGGCCTGCCCAGCCACCTGGACGCTGTGGCCACTCCTCATTCCCACCAGGACTCAGCCAACCAGAGAGGTAGAGGCAGTGGGCCCTGGCTGGCTCCTGATGAGAGGAAGGTGCCAGAAGCTGCACACTCAGCAGGTGGAGGTGCACCTGCCACCTCCATCCCCACCCCCAGGGAAGGCAAGACCCCTGGGGCCACTTGGCTGGCCCCGCCTCCTAGGTGTATCTCCACCCTGAAGGCCGCTGAAGAAGAACCCTCCCTCTGTGGCCTGGTCCCTAGATGTCTGCCCTGGCCCTCAGGACAGACATCGTCCCGGGTGCCCAGGGGACCACGCCAGCCAGCAGGCTGACGGACACTGCCAGCCTGGGTCTGCGGATGGAGCCTTGGGTCCCCGCCCCCCAGAAGCCTGCCAGGACCCTTGCAGGGGAAGCAGCCCTCCCAGACACAGGGCCGGAGACCACCCCCAGGCAGCAGGACGCCAAGCCCTCGGTGCACAGCCCCCAGCCCCTGCCCCAGGCAAGGGGACTTCTGAAGATGGCCAGGATGGGGCACTGGCCAGATGAGGTGGGGGCCCCACAGAGGCACTTTGGGGGTCCGCTTGACGGGAGTCTGACCCGATTGCCCCTGCCCCGGTCCCTCCCACCACCCCAGAGCCAGCCCCGGCCCCAGCCGTGGTGATGATGCCAATGTGATGGAGCCAATGGCACGGTGGAGAGCAGCAGGGGTGGCAGCAAGCGTTGGGGCCACCAGAGTTGGGGGGAAGGGCAGCTGGAGGGCACCCAGCCCGGCACTGGGGGCCCTGGCTCACCTGCGAGCCGGCCTCTCCCAGGGCAGCACCGGGCTGGCGGAGGCCCCCAGGCAGGGGCACTGTGGGTTCTGCCCTGCCTCGGCCGGGGGAGGGGACGGTCCACTGGCCACCTGCCCTCTGTCCTCTGACACCACCCCAGACCCTCCTCTCGGGCCCTGGCCTCCTGCCTGGGGAGAGGGTGACAAGCGGCCGAAGTACCTTAATCCCGTCCACTGGGTTATGGATAACGGTGGTTTGAGGCTCCTACAGAGGGAGGAGAGCAGAGAGGAAGGAGAGAGAGGGGCAGTGAGACGGAACGAAGCAGGTAGAAGGGGAGCGTGGGAGCCAGAGGAGTGGGCGTGGCCAGAGCCCGGGAGAGCAGGGAGCAGAGCCGAGGCAGGGCGGGCGGACAGCAGGTGGTCAGCGCGAGATGGCCCTGGGTGGACCAATGTGAATGAACCAACTGCCCATCGGAGGGTGCCGGGCACGTGGGCCCAGGGAAGCTCTGGAAGTGGGGGGCTCTGCCCCAGGGGTCCTCCCCTGGCTGCCCAGCATGGGGGGCCGGGGCTTGAGGATGTCATGGGGTGGCACATGGGATGGAGGGGTCCGAGGTGGGGCTGGCTGTGAGGCCGGCGCGTCCACTGGGAGGCATGAGGCCTGGCTGCCCTGGTGGCTCCTGCTCACAGGACGGCCCCCTCCTGGGGACTCCGCACGAGCTCAGGGTGGCGCTTGCCAGCCCAGCCTTCTCATGAACCCCAAGGCCCTCAGGACAGTGCAGCGCCCCAGAAGGAGGCCAGCGCCCCCGGCTCCATCCCCAGGAACAGTCGCTGAGGGGCTGGTCTGGACAGGAGCCCCCTGAGCAAGGGGCCAGAGCTGGTCAGTGCCCTCGAGGTGGGCGGGCCCACTCAGCAGGCGGCCAGGGCCAGCAGTGGAGCAGAGCAGGCTCTGAGGAAACCCGGGCGGATGGGCAAGGCCCTGGCTGCTACCGATCCCTCCCCATGGTCCCATCTCCCCAGGGCACACAGGATGGGCCACTCCAGGCTGCTGCCCCTGCACAGTCCAGCCGGGCCCCCTCCAAGCTGGGTGGGCTTGTTAGGGGCAAAGAGGAGCCTGGGTAGGTGCCTGGGAGGTCCCTGGAGGGATGATGAGTACAGCTCCAGGCCCTCTGCTCGACAACCTCCTGAGGGCCTCTTGCTGCAGGCGCCCACGGTTGGCCCAGGGGGAGGCCGGGTGCCTTCCCTGCACCCCAGTATCTCCGGGCCCCAGTGAGGGGCTCCCCAGACCAGCCCTGCACCAGTGTCCTCCCATCTGGAGGGTCACTCTCCCAACCCCCCACCCCAAGTGCAGTGTGGGACGGTGGGGGGCAGGCAGGTGTCAGAGACGGGAGGGGCAGGCGGGGCCAGGAGCTCAGTACCAGGGCGGCGGGAGGGAGTGTCCCTTTGGGGCTGGTGATGGCCGCGCTGTTTTTGGTGCTGTTCGTCTGGGGCTGCGGACAGAGGAAGAGCAGCTGTTAGCGAGAAGCCGCACGCACCCTCCCGGGCCTGCGGGTGGGCGGGCGGGCGGGCGTGGGGGCGGCTCTCACCTTGACCCCATCTGCCTTCTTGTTGAGTAGACTCTTGGCTGCTGCATTGAAAGGGAGGAGGGAGCGTGAGTGCTGCGCCTGGAGCCCACTGCAGCCCCCACCCTTCCCCGGAGCCGGCCAGGCCTCGGGGAGGCAGGCTCCTGCACGGGCTGGGCCAGGCTGCCCTGGGACCCTCGCCATGTCCTCCGCGACCCTGGCCACCAGGGCCTCCCGGCCTGTGGCCCTCAGCGTCCAGGCCACACAGGGCCGCACACTGGCTCTTCCCCAAGGAAGGCTGGCCACTGACCCCTCTGAAGTCGCCTGGTGGCACAGGCCAGGCCCGCACGTCTCCCCGGCCCCAGCTGGCTGCGCACAAGCTGGGGCGTAGCGGGGCCTCTCCTTCCACTGGGACGCAGCTCTGCCGCCCTCCCAGCAGCCTCCTCTGCTGCGCCGCCCCTCAGCCCTGGGCCCAGGACACTTGTTGGTGGCCGGGGCTGGGGTCTTTGCCCTCTGTCCCCAAGGAACTCCAGGCCCCGCGCACATGGGCCCCCACTGACTGCAGCACCCCGGCACCTGCACCTTCTGCCACAACCAGAGCTCAATCGTAGAACTTAAGGAAAGAAAATGTCCGCTTACCTTACAGAAAAGGAGAGGTGAGGAGGGGAGGGGGTGAGGAAGAGAGAGGAAGAGAGAGAAGACAAGGTTTGTGTTGGCTCCGGCAAGGAGCGCCCGCACCACCTGGCACTCACACAGGCTGGCACTCACGAGCCCGGCGCAGGGCGGCGCAGGGCGGCACGGCGCGGCAGGGGTTAGAGCAGCAGCCGAGCGGACACAGCGAGGCCATGGGAGGAGGTGTCGGGCCGTGGCCCGGGCCCGCTGGGGACGGAGAGGCCACAGCAGCTGGGCTCCAGGATGACCAGAGGGCGGGGACACGGGACAGACAGGGGCCGAGCCCAGGAGCAGGGTCACCCCGCACGGTCAGAGATGCAGGTCTCCAGGCCACCCAGCCCCCGAGGCGGCACTGGAGGGGGGAGGGGGTGGGGGTAGAGGCTGCAGGGCAGTGCCCAGGCCCAGGCCTCCCTCTCTGCTGCCGCCGCCCTCCAGGGCTGGTCCCTCCCATGCTCGGTCTGTGCACACAGAGCGGCTTCAGGCACAGCCTCTCCCCGGGCTCTGACTCCGACACCGGGAGAATTCACACACACTGGGCTGCTATCGAGCCCAGGAGTCCCTGCAGGATCCACGGAGCCGGCTGGCCAGGCCCCTCACCCCCAGGGCTCTCTGCACCCCACCCCCGGCCACCCCTGACCACCCAGGGTCCAGCCCAACACACCCCTGGGACCAGAAACGCCAACCTCCCTACAGCTCGGCCTGGCAAAACCTCCCTGGAGCTCAGCACTGGGCCAGGTGGTCCTGGCCAGGCAGGCCCCACCCCAGTCGGGACCCGCCCCTGCTCAGCACCGGCACACGGGGCTCAGGCCCAGCGGGGCATCTGCCCAGCCCGGCAGCAGACAGCACCTCCTCCCTGAGGAAGGAGACACCCGGCCTCCTCTTAGGTCACCGGTGGTGGGGAGCAGAGCAGGCAAGGGGCACTGGTGTCCCCAGGGATAATCAAGTCGGCAGTGTGGCCAATTCACACGGACCGTTTGCCAAAGGCACGCCTGACCCCTCCTCCACAGGGAGAGCCCACCAGCAAGCCTACTCCCAGCTGGATTCTGGGGTGGGACCAGCACAGGCTGCTCCATGGGACCAGCATAGCGCCCAGAGCCCGCCGGGGGCGGGGGTCTTCCCCCTTGGCTGTCCCAAGACGACTCTTCCAGGAAAGGAGGCACCTGGGTCGGGCCCACCCGAGTCCACCAAACCCTGTGTTTCCACGGAGAAGCTGCTGGGGCAGCAGCAGTTACCAGTGGGAGTAGCAGGCCAGAGCGCCCCTGTGCACACGAGGCTGGGCCAAGCCGTTCCGTGAGCCCCCTTTCAGCCAGCCCCTGTACACACCCTGGCGCAGTGTCGGGTGCAAGGTGTCCCCTCGTCTCTCCCCGACAGCCATGTCTCTGTGCTGGGCCAACTGCATGTTCGCGCCCCGTCGGCCCCATCTACTGTCGCGTCCAAAGGCACGGGCGCTTGCTCCGGGGCGTCTCACGTGAGAAGCGTTTCTCAGGCGCGGCGGGGACCCCAGGTAGACGGGGCAGCCCTGGATCCCAAACACCTCCGCCCTGCGCTGGGAGGCACGGCCGCTGCAAGGGCCCGCAGGCAGGCCGAGCAAGGGCCACCGCCCTCAGCTGCCCCTTGGCTAGGGTGCCTTTGCCTCGCACCTGCTCGGCGGCGCAGGGAGACTGCGAAGGCCCACCTGCAGCACGCTCGGCAGACAAGCGCCTCCTGCTGGCCAACAGGTGCCTCACGGCTCTGGGACGTCCGGCGCCAGAGCACGTCACCCACGTGGCATCTGTGGGCTGCACGGGGCTGGGCCCACCTAAAGGACAGGCGGCTCCCTCGGCCTCGCCTCTGCCCGGCCCCCATCTGGCCGCCCTGGACAGCCATGCCGGACGCCGTCCACATGCACTGGCCCCTGCGGGAGGGAGCGGCTCCCGGAGTCCAGGGCCGAGCTGCGCATGCACGCGGCCTCATGCACCATGGTCCCACGCTCACTTGCAGGCAGGCGGGCGTTGCAGCAGGAGCCCTGGGCAGAGTGCGGTCAGGGTCATGCCACTGTCCCTCCCCAGGGGCACGCGCTTGTCTCTCTCACCCCAGCCCCTCCCTACAGCTATCAGCTCCACACAGACTGCGGGCCCAGGCCTGCACACCCACAGGGTCCACGTCTGGAGTACGAGGTCTCCCTGAAGATGGCTGAGCCCCGAGGGGGTCGTCTGATGGGGAAAGCCTGGCTGTCACTCCGTGGGCTTGCGGGGTACAGTGGGTGGGCATGCAGGAAGGAAAGGGCCCGGGGAGGGTGGTCCCCACCTCCAGGACCTCTGTCCTGGCCCCGGCTCTGCCGGAGGGACCAGGCAGCCTGGCTCTGGGGCCCAGGCGGGCCCTGGTGGCTCAGTGACAGCCACGGCTGGCTCTGCCCCTTAACCCTTTGCTGGCCCTCTGCTCCGGTGGTGGCTGTGGAGCCCGAGGGCGGCCCTGGGGTCACCTGGTGCTCATGGGGTCAGTGCCGGGAGGGCCCAGCCCACGTGCCACAGAGGAGCAGGTCGGCAGAGCCACCTCCTCCCTCCAGGCCAGCCGAGGGTGGCCTCGTAGAGGGAACCTGACAGGAGCCCTTCAAAGTCCCTGGGGGGCAGCTGAGGCCCTGGTTCTGGGCCAGCCTGCCCGGAGCGGCTCACGGGCCGGCCGGGCCCACTGGGCTCAGCAGCACAGACCGCGGGCTCCTGCTCCGAGACAGGGCCGGACCACAGCTCCGACAGGCAGCTCCCCTGCCCTCTGGCCCTGCTCCCCCGGCCCCTCCAGAACTCAGCCAGCTCCTGATGGGGTCAAGGTCACTGTGAACGGGGGTCTGGAGACCCCCAGAACTCAGGGGAGTGTTTCCGTCGAATGCAGCTGGGGCCACCTAGCCCAGTCCCTTCTCCTCCAGGTGAGGAGAGGGGGTGGGCTGCCTGCTTGCCCTTGCGCGGGCTCTGCTGGGACTGGCCGCAGCGGGAGCTGGCGCTCCCGGGGGGCCTGGCAGGGGCTGCGTGCAGCAGGGGGGCTGCATGCCGACGGGAGGGTGAGCGATGGACGCTGGGCAAGACACATCTACCTTGTTCCACCAGCCCCATGGTGGTGCCGGAGGCCGCGGTGGACATTGTGGCCGGAGCGGTGGTCTGTCTGCCCACTGCGAGCACCGGGTTAGAGACGAGGAGAGGGAAGGGGCGGACACAGACGGGGTGGGGGCGAGGTGGGGAAGAGAAGAGACAAAGGAAGCAGAAGAAGTTAGAGTTAAGGTCTGGGTGTGGGTGGCTCCAGCATCCCTCCTGCAGGAGGGAGCAAACAAGATGGGCCGAGCGACCGCGCCAAGCCTCCGCCTCCTTTCTCTTTAGAAAGCCCCAAGGGGGCTTCTCGGCCGCCGGGGGCGTGGTGGGCACACAGCAGACAGGACAGTCCCATTGGTGTCGGTGTGACTGTGCGGTATCACAGCAAAGGAACAGGACGGGGTGCCGATGCAACGGACAACGAGACGGACGACCACACACGCTCGCACACGCAGTGTCGGACGACGGAGAAGCAGGCACAGTTCGTCCAGGCGCTGGGGCCCCCGGTTCTCCTCTGGGGCCGGTGCTGCCCCCTGCCGGGTGGGCCCACAGTGCCCTGACCCCGGGGGTCTCTGACAGACCCCCCTGGAAACCTCCCTTCCCCTCTACCCGCCACCAGCTGGGTGGTTCCAGAGCCCCCTGCCCACCCCAGTACCTGCGTCCTGCACACAACACGGGGCTCAGAGCACTGAGAACAAGGACGCCACGGAGCTGCCCGAGAGACGCCTGGACAGACACACACGGCACTGCGGCCGGGCGGCGGGCGGCACAGACACTGGGTCTCGGGAAGGGACATGGACCCTGGGGGCTGCCCAAGGAGGGAACGCAGGGTTCAGGTGGGCACGGGCAGTCTCGGAGCTGCAGGCATTGGAGGGCGTGGGCTGGAGAGGGAGGAGGGGGCTCCACGCCACGGCTTGCAGAGCACCGGCGGCACCTGTCCTGCCCGGAGGACGGCTCACCTGAGAAATTCCGCGTGGCCAGCATGGTGGTGAGGATGGCTCCCTGGGGGGACACAGACAGAGCCAGGGCCAGCCTGTCAGTCTCCCCCGAAGACTTCCTGCCAGGACAAGACCCCCGCCCCTGCCACGGGCTCCAGGCAAGACCTGACCGTGGCCTTCTGTGAGGCGAGAGTTCAGGACCCAGCGTCTACATCCAAGACAGCTCCCGCTTCCCAGGGACCTAAACCTAGGGGTCTCCAGGGCCCCCAGACTGCCCTCTGGCTCCCCTCAGCCCCTCTTGCCCTGACAGCCCCAGATGCCAGCTGAGCCCCCAGGAGAGACATTCAGAGACCCAGAAGGGCAGCTATCATGGGGGCCCAGGCCCAGGCTTGCTGTCACCCCGGGCACCGTCCAGGGAGCTGATGGACAGCTTGGCCACACAGCGACTTCGAGACCAGCCCAGGCCATCCCTTAGCGCCCGGCTGCCCCTGCCCACCATGACCAGCATGGGCTCTGCTCTCTGCATCAGAGCTACTGTGGGCTGGAAGATTCTGGACTCGCTTGTACCCAGAGAGTGGCGAGGCTCAGTAGGTGACCTCTGGAGGCCCTCCCGGGCCACGGGGGCTGGGCCTGCTGGCTCTGTGCCCCTCTGTCTGCTCCAGGGAAGGCCGGAGGCGGCTGTGATGCAGGCTCCTGCTGCCCCGGGCCTCCCCGCACCTGCAGCCCCGTGTAGCCTGGGGGCGCTGGCGGCCGCCTCACCTTGAGCTTCCTGCGGGCGTTGAACTTCTTCAGGCACTCCACGGTCTCCTGCCGGTGCATCATGGAGGCCACCGTGGAGCGTTGCTGTGGGCAGAGGGCCAGGGAGCTCAGACAGAGGCCGGGCGTGGGGCCCTCACGTCCCGCACGCCTGTCCCCACCTGCTGCCCCCGTGGCCCGTGACTTGCAGCACTGGCTGTTGCCGGGCTCTGCCCGCTCCTGTCCCCTCGCAGATAGCACGTGGGTCCGGAGCCGGAGCCAAGGGTCTTTCTCTACCTTCCCCTGCCCTCCAGGCAGGAAGTCCCACCCCTGGGGTTTCCGGGGGGGCGCCCGGGGCCCGGTTGGAGGTGAGGAACCCTCCCCAGGGCAGTGGTCCGTGCCGCCCCCAGCAGGAGCCCCCAGCGGGTGAGAGGGACGACTTACGCAGACCCACGGGTGCTTCAGGGCCTCGTGGGCCGTGATGCGCTTGGCAGGGTTGATGGTCAGCATCTGGTTGATGAGGTTTTTGGCTTCGGGAGTGACGGTGTCCCACTCGGGGGATGGGAACTGCACGGGGAACGGAAGCCCAGGCTGCGGCAGAAGGCCCCTCGCCAGGACCCAGGGCACAGTCACAGGGAGCCCCGCCCCCACCAACCGCCCCCGGGGATGGCAGGCGGGGTCCCGGCACTCACGTCGTAGGCCCCGGCCTTGATCTGCTGGTACAGCTTGTGCTGGTCCTCGTCCCAGAAGGGCGGGTAGCCCACGAGCAGAATGTACAAGATGACACCTGCGGCAGGGCCGAGCGCGGCACCGTCACCACAGCAGTCCCGGGGGCACTGGGTCCCCCTCTGCGACACCCCTGCCTTGCAGGGAGACCCCCAGCAGGGAGCAGACCTGCGGGGGGGTCTGACTGCCCCTGAGCCCTGCATTCGGGTTTGCACCCCTGCTCCTGGCCCAGACCTCTCCTGAGTGCAGGCTAAAGGACGGGGGATCCTGTTAGCAATTCCAGTCCACGTAGGGAAGGCGCTCCAGGCTGCGGAGACACCAGCCCAGGAGCCTGGCCCTGGGGAGGACGTCACCCCTCCCCACCGGGGCCCTCCTGTCCCCCACAGGGCTCACCACATGCCCAGATGTCCACGGGCTTGCCGTATGCCTCCTTGCGAAGGACCTCAGGGGACAGGTAGCCAGGCGTGCCCGCAAACCCTAGCAGAGGGGAAGGGGCTGTGAGGGGCCACAAAGGCCCTGCACCCTCGCCCGCCCGCCCGCCCGCCTCCGCCTGGCACTCACCAAACCACGCCTGCTGGTCCCCCTGCACTTCGATGGCCAGGCCGAAGTCGGCCAGCTTCACGGCGGCCCCTTTGCACTTGCTGGCCAGGAGCAGGTTCTCGGGCTGCAGGGAGGTCACCGCGAGGGTGTGAGGTGCACATGTAGGGGTGCAGCACAGGGGGTGGGCTGGGCAGGAGAGGGGTGCATGGGCCTGGCCCATCAGGGATGGACACAGTAACCAGGCTGTCAGCGGAAGTCGGCTTTCACCAGAGCTTGGAGTCTTGGAGCCCCACACTCCAGCATCCCACCCTAGGGGCCCCTGGACCAAAATCCCCACCTTATCCTTACATGCAACTGTGCAGCTTCCCACAGCCCTGGGATGCCCCCTCCCCCCAACTCCTGATATGGGGGGGCGAGGACGAGGCACTTCCTGTGGAACAACGCCCCCTGCCACACAGGGCAAGGAAGAGCCTTGGCACTCAGAAGAGCCCAGGACATCCACCTGCCAGTCACAGCCCCCTTCCGCCCCCGCCCCCCGGCTCCAGGGAGTCCACCACCCAGGGCTGAGAGTGCTGCCTGACCACTTGCCCGTACGGTGCCCACGGGCGGGGAGAAGCTGCTCAGGCCCTACCTCAGGGAGCACCACCCCTGCTCCAGGTGCAAGGCAGAGGCAGCTGGGACTGGGGACAGCTGGCACGGAGGGCCTGAGAGGTCTTAGGGCTGCTGGGCCCAAGGGACCGTCCTGTCCAGCTTCCAAACCAGCATGGCTCCTGTGCGTCCTCAAGGCCGCACCACCTCCCAGTGGAGGTGCTCAGAGCCCAGCAGGTGCACCGCAGCCAGCCTGACCTCTGACCACCAGGGGGCTCCCAGGCCCTTGGGTCACCGCAGCAGCTGCCCGAGACCAGCCCTGCATCCTACAGACACCGCTGCTTACGGTGGCCACCAGGGGCTGGCGCAGCGGGTTAAGTCACTGCATCCCATATGGGCTCCAGCTCCACTTCCCATCCAGCGCCTCGCTGATGCACCTGGGGAGAGCTGGATGGAGCTGGGGGCAGTGCTCGGTGGGCAGGGCCACAGGGACCTGCCTGACCCAGCCCTGGCCGTTGCAGCCATTTGGAGAGTGAACCAACAGATGGAAGATCTCTCTCTCTCTCTCTCTCTCTCTCAACTCTGCCTTTCAAATAAATATAATACATCTTAAGAAAAAAAAAAAGTCAGCCGGCGCCGCAGCTCACTAGGCTAATCCTCCACCTTGCGGTGCCGGCACACCAGGTTCTAGTTCCGGTCGGGGCGCCGGATTCTGTCCCGGTTGCCCCTCTTCCAGGCCAGCTCTCTGCTGTGGCCCGGGAGTGCAGTGGAGGATGGCCCAAGTGCTTGGGCCCTGCACCCCATGGGAGACCAGGAGAAGCACCTGGCTCCTGCCATCGGATCAGCGCGGTGCGCCAGCCGCAGTGCACTGGCCGCGGCGGCCATTGGAGGGTGAACCAACAGCAAAGGAAGACCTTTCTCTCTGTCTCTCTCTCTGTCCACTCTGCCTGTCAAAAAAAAAAAAAAAAAAAGTCACTAAGGAAGACAAAATGCTGCCATGTGATCTGCTTTGAACTCTGGCTATGAACTCAGTCTAACACGTGAGTGTGGCCCCTGGACCTGAGGCAGGAGGACCCTTGCTGCCCTGAGCTTGGACCCCACACCCGCACGCAGACCCAGAGCTCACCTGAGGGCTCCCAGGCTCCCGGCAGAGCAGCCAAACACAAGCCCGGTGCCCCTCGGCAGCCCCGGCGCGCTGTGGCCTTGCCTACGACTCCCTGTCCCCTGCCGACAGGCAGCTCCCTGTGGCCCTGCCCACTGAGCACTAACCAGAGACCCCGGAAGACCTTGATTTTGCAAACGTGATTGCGCCAAGGGCCCCAAGCTCCCGCACTCCACGGAGAATCTGAGAAGAGGAGGGCAGGGGCTGCTCCAGCCGTGCCCCCGCCCCCTAGGAAACGGACCAGGGCTTCTTCCCACGCGGAAGACAGAGCCTCAGGTGAACCTAGCCTCTGGGAAGCACTGGGCGAGGAGGCCTAGGGGATAGGCTCCACCCCAACGCCCTCGCGGCTGGGAGATGGCGCCCTCTGCCGCCCCAGCGGGCTGCAGCCTCGGCTCAGGGCTCAGCTTGGCGGCCCCAGCAAGCTCTCTCTCCAGGACAGGCGGCACGGCCTGCCGCTCAGCAGGTGAGAAGCCACAGCAAGGACTCTCTTGTCCTCAGAATGGGGGTGGGGGTGGGGGGCAAAGTTAACAAAGTGCCAAGGTCACCCACACATGGCCCCCACGTGGGAGGAGGACCCAGAATCGCTCCTCCTGGGGCCCTGACTGATAAGACGGCAGGGCCTGCCCGGCCGCACAGACCGGAGGGGTCAGGAGGGGGCCACGGGCCTGCTCGGTGTGAGGCCCCCACCCCGCCGAGAGCATGCCGAGATCAAGCCCCCCGGTGGCCGGTGCAGTGGCCAAGCCCACATCCCATATCCAGAGGCCTGGGTTTGAGCCCAGCCCCACTTCCAACCCAGCTTCCTGTTCATTTACACCTTGGAGCCACGGGTCATGGCTCAAGTACTTTGGTCCCTGCCACCCACGTGGGAGACCCAGATGGAGTTCTGGGCTCCCGTCTTCGGCCTGGCCCAGCCTTGGCTGTGGTGGGCAGGTGGAGAGTGGACCAGCAGATGGAAGAGCTCTCTGTCTCTCAAATAAAATGAAAATAAATAATCTTTTCAACGACGGACAGAAAGTCTGACCTCACCCGGTACAACCCCTGTGGAAAGCTAGCCTTGGGCATGCTGGGGCCGGGGCCCTGGGGTCCACACAGCCCCTGGCCGAGCCAGACCCTAGAGAAGGTGGGCTGAGGGGGCAGAGCAGGAGGCTGGAGGCAAGGAAGCGGGAGAGAGGCAGGGGGAGAGGGGAGGGTGACAGCCCGCCCTGTGCCCTGGGGTGACAAACCTTGTGCACAGAGCATCCGAGCTGTGAAGAGGCTGGCAGGAGTTGGCAGGGGGAGCCGGCTGCCGGCACCTGCCACACGCCCCTGTCGGGCTGAGTCTGGACAGGAGCCCAGGAGGTGAGAACCTGAGTGCACGCTGGTCAACAGGCCCATTTCTGAAGACTGCCCTCCCCGGCCCTGGGCTGGAGGCGCCGGAAGGGACGTGAGCAGACGCCCCGCCCACATGCACACACGCAGACTCACGGGTGCACATGCACCAAGGCACACATGTACCCACACACGGACACACAGTGCACAGACAGCCCATGCACACGTGCGCACCCACATCACACACACACGCATCCCTCCATGCAGTGCACAATGCCCACTGCACACACACACGTCACAGACGGCACACACTCCTCCGTGCGTGCACACCCATGTGCCTGTGTCCCGCAGCCCCACTTGGCCCTGGCTGGCCTCGCAGCTCTGCTTAGACACCTGGCCAGGTGTGGGGCGGGCACTCACCTTGAGGTCTCTGTGGACGACCCCCATTTGGTGACAGTGCAGCACAGCCTCCAGGATCTGCTGAATGCAGTGACTGTGGCAGACAGCAGGAGGGTTAGTGCTGGGGGGGGGGGGGTGCTGGAGCGTGGCCTCCGGGCTGGGGCTCCAGGGAGCGGGTGTGGAAGCCAGCAGGAGGGGCCGCGGGCTCCTCCCTCCCTCCCAAGGCCAGCTGTGACTCCCACAGGACACCCCCATGCTCAGCGCCCCCTCCCCGACCCACACAGCCACTTCTGACCCTTGGGAGGGAGGCATGGCAAGGCGTGTGGGCAAGAGGGAGGGGAAACCACGGCAGGGAAGAGCTGCAGCGGCCAGAGCCAGGGCCCGGGGTGCAGGGGGCGCCCCCAGGACCGGGCATGTGCCTGTCGCTTCATTTGGGTAAACTGAGGTCTCCCTAGCTGCACGGGCTGCCCCGCCCAGCTCCTGGGGTCTGCGGGAGCAACGGGAACCCAGGGCCCTGCTTTTCCGCCCTCCCGCTGGTCCCCGGCCGCTCCCAGCAGCAGGGCTGGAGGCGGGGTCTCTGAGCTGCCTGCCCTGGGGCACCTCCCCGGCACCACTGCTGTGCACGGCAAGCCCAGGGCCTCCCAGCTCTGAGTGCATTGCAGCCTCAGCCTGCCTCCCCCGCCTCCTGCTGCCCCTGGAGCCAGGCTGCCCACCCAGGGACAGCCCAACGCCGCAGGGAGAAGTAGCCACAACCATGGAGACCCCCAGCTGGGCCGGGGGCACCTGCTACAGGCTGCCTGAAGCCCACCTGCCGGGGTCCCCTCGTGGTCCCTCTAGGTCAGGTGTGGGAGGCGCAGGCAGATCCCTGCAGGACCCACCCGTCCCAACGGCGGCAGGAGGGTGAGCTGATGTCCTGCCCTGACCCTCCAGCAGCCCACCCTCTCTGGCCAGCTGGTCAACGGCTGCGAACCTGACTTTCTTCCCCCAGAGTTGCAGCCGTGCAACCCTACTGGGGTGACCGTGCCTGAGGCTGGTGAGGCGCAGGAAGCCGAGGTTGGGCTAAGGGAGAGGCCCCCGCGGAGCCTGAGTGTCAGTGTGGCCAAGGGCTGGCAGGGCAGTCCCTTGCCACCCCAGATGCCTTGGCCTCCAGGACACGCGCCGGGGCTACTGGGGCTGAGCCTGAGACACCCTTCTCCATAAGGCAGTGAGCAGGGGGCTCCACGTGACCCTCCCAGGGGCTGAGGCTGGCCCTGGGCAGGGCTGTCCACAAGGCTTCCTTTCCCTCTCCATGCCTCAACCTCCAAAATCACTGCCCCACCCCCCAACAGGTCCCAAGCCGCTGCCCCCCCCTTACACTGCCCCGCCCCCAGCACCCTGTACTGGAGCTCCGACAGGCAGCAGGGCTGGGAGAGAAAATGGAGAGAACCCAGCCCAGAGCCCCGGGTCTCCTGGGCCAGCTCCAAAGAGCCAGGGTGCCCTCTACCTGGGAGCCCCGGTGGGGGATGCAGGGAGGGGCTCCCTAACTCTGCAGTTTGCCGGAGGTTCTGGGACCCGAAAAGCCCAAGCAACTCCTGAGGACTTTGGAAAACCCCAGCTCTCCCCACTGAGCCCACTGAGGCCACTGGGGTCCCAGGTAGGGGCCCTGGGGTCCGGGCATGCAGGGCTCCCTGCGGGGGAAGCCAAGCCCATCGGACACAGCGTGAGAAGGGGGGGCACAAGGAGGGAGGCCAAGGCCGCCCGCGACAGGCCAGAGGCTGACACTACCGAGTGGCCAAGGTGGCCACCTGTCCCCCTTCCTCTGGCCTCTGCCTGAGGGCCCCAGCACTGGGGGAGTCTGCACACGCCAGGCATCTCCTTTGTACCCCCAAACAGGGGGAGCCCAGGCCACTCAGAGGGCAAGATGGGCCCAGGGCTGAAAGACACGGGGAGGGGCGTGGGGGACGGGGCGGGGGGGTGGAGGCGGGGCATGCGCAGGTGCTGCAGAAGAGGGAGAGTGGCAGGCCCTGGGCAGGTGCAGTCCCGTGTGAGGACGGGAGGCGCCAGGCTGCCCCGGAGAGCACTGGGCCCAGCCCAGGCCACACACACACACGCACGCACACACACACAGTCTCTGCAGGTGTCTGGGACGCCCAGGCGGCAGGCAGCACCGGCTCTGTGTAGCTCCAACCAGTGTTTCAGAGCGGGGTGTGGGGGCTTCTTTTCTTGCAAGGAGACCACACAGAAAGCCTCCACTCAGTGGGGACCGAATGTGTGCAGGCAGTTTTGTAAAATACAAGGCCCTGGGCTGGCGCTGTGCCACAGCAGGTTAATGCCCTGGCCTGCAGCAACGGCATCCCATATAGGCTTCGGTTTAAGACCCGGCTGCTCCTCTTCTGATCCGGCTCTCTGCTGTGGCCTGGGAAAGCAGTAGAGGATGGCCCAAGTCCTAGGGCCCCTGCACCCGCGTGGGAGACCTGGAAGAAGCTCCTGGCTCCTGGTTTCAGGTTGGCGCAGGTCTGACCGTTTCGACCATTTGGGGAGTGAACCAGTGGATGGAAGACCTCTCTCTCTGCCTCTACCTCTCTCTCTGTAACTCTTTCAAATAAATAAATTTTTTAAAAAAAGAAAAACAGGCCCCTCCTCCAGGAGCCTTTGAGAAAAAGCCGGAGGCTGCACCCTTTGGGGGCTGGGGCCCAGGGGAGCCCCCTCCTCCACCACAGCCAGCCTGGACTCTCGCACCCTCCTGTGGTGACAGGTAAGGGCAAGTCACAGAGAGCTGCTCCCCCCAAAGAACCCTCGTTTTCCCTACTAAGAAGCGAGTACATACTCATTGAAGAGTTTAGAGAAGAGGAAAGACCTAAACTCCACAGAACAGCGCCTGGGGGAGACCCCCACCCCCGTGTCTTCTGCAAAGGCAGAGCCCGTGGGGCAGGGCTGTGCAGCTGGGATGCACTGTCGCCGGTCAGGCGTGCACCCAGCAGGCACAGGGAGCGGTCACCTCCCCGGCTGACACCAGCCACCCCTCCGCCTGGCCTTGGCAGCCACACCACACCCAGCTGTCTCCGAGCCCCTCACACTTTCCATCCCAGCGAGGGCCGGTGGAGGGAAGGGCTGCCCTCGGGTGCCCCGGGAGGCCCCAGCCCGGATGGCATCAGCGCCCCTCAGTCACCTCCCACAGCGGGGCCCTGGGTGTGCTGAGCAGGGATGCAGGTGGCCTGTGCGTCCCCCACCCCGCCTGGCGCAGTGCTGGCTGCTAGCCAGCCTTGGCAGCACGCCCGGGCTGGGTGGGCCTGAGGGGACAGTGAGGGGACTGTGGGAGAGCCCGGGGAAGGTGGCACCTGGCCCAGCTTTCTGGGAAAAGTGTTGGGAGGTAGCAGTGCGTGTCGTGGCTGGGGAATGAGATGGCCCAGGGAAGGGATGGGTGGGAGGACGGCCCTCCGGCTGCTGCCTGCCCCTCCAAGGCCTCTAAGTGCCCACCCAGAGACACACAGCAGGCCCTGGGCCCCCAGGCCACCCCACTCTGCTCAGGGACACTCAGGTTGCCCTGACAGCTCAACACGTCCACTTGGCTTCCATCAAGGGCTGTGGGAGGAACGGAGGAGCCTGCTCAGGACTGGCCAAGGATTAAGGGGGGCAGGAGTAGGGCTGAGGGAGGGACAGCGAGGAAGGCAGGCTCTGCACCCACCTGGCATCAGCCTCGCTGTAGTACTCTCTCGCCACAATGTCTTCAAAGAGCTCCCCACCAGTGACCCTGAGGGAGAAACATACGGGATCATGGATCCTGTCCCCTCCATCACCTTCATCACCACCACCAACACCACCACTAACTTCACCATCACCATCATCATCGCCTTCATCACCACCACCACCGTTAACATCACATTACCATCATCATCATCACCATTAACGTCACATCACCATCACCAACACCACCATTAACATCACCACCACCACCATTAACATCACCATCACCATCATCATCACCTTCATCACCACCACCACCATTAACATCACATTACCATCATCATCACCACCATTAATGTCACATCACCATCATCATCACCTTCATCACCACCACCACCGTTAATGTCACATTACCATCATCATCACCACCATTAACGTCACCATTACCATCACCTTCATCACCACCATCAATATCACCGTCACCATCACCTTCATCACCACCAACACCACCATTAACATCGCCATCACCATCATCATCACCTTCATCACCACCACCACCATTAACATCACATTACCATCATCACCGCCACCATTACCATCATCATCTACACCACCACATTACCATCACCTTCATCACCTTCATCACCACCATCCCTACCTCTGCCCTATGACCAATGTCACCTGGAACTGAGTGATGACATGTACCATTCACCTGCTCACAATCACGCATGACGCTGGCACTGCTATCCCCCATTTGCAGACAAGGGAACTGTTTCTAAGGGGCCAAGGATGACTTCCCCAGAGACCGCAGTGCAGGAGACTGGAGCGCTGTGCCCGGGGCCTGTGACGCTAACTCCCAGTCTGAGCTCGGACTCCCCTCCCCAACTCCATCCCCAGGGCCAGCACCGTGGGGGAGGGGCTGGCTGTCTCGTGGAGCTCACAGGAGAACCGAGGGGAGCCTCTGTGCACCCCCCTCCTGCCCTGGCCCCTCCCAGGACATGGTCTCATGATCAGGGCAGGCAATGAGGACCCAAAAGGGTCTGGGCTGCCAGGGGCCCAAGGACAGGCGATGTGGCATGGCACAGAAGGCAAGGGAGGGGACAGGCGCAGCCCCTGGGTTTGCCCACCCCTCCCCTACTCAGCCACTGGATCTGCCCAGGACCCGTGCCCCACCCCCCGCAGAGGCTCCGGCCCTGAGGGCTGGGGGTGCCCGGTGCATGCGGGCACCTGAGGGCACCCTCCTTCTGGCTAGTCCACCTGCACTTCAGCCCTCACCCCTTCTGCAGGGGGAGGCTCTGGCCATCCTCACTTTGGTGCCTGGCACCCAGGGCTGGGCTGGCCCGCAGCAAGGACTGGCCCTGGCCTGAGGAGTGAAAAGCCATGCCAGGGAGGTCCCAGCAGCCCTCAAGGTGAGTACGCGCACGGCCTCTGGAGGAGTGAGGCTGAGGGCGGTGCCGCCAAGGCAGGGCAGGGCTGGGGGAGGCCACTGTCCTGGGCAGCTCCCTACTGTGTCTCTGTTTCTGTGTGCACACATGTGTATGTGGATGTGTCTCTGTGTCCGTGTGCACACACATGCATGTGGATGTGTGTTTGTGTTTCTGAGTCCGTGTGCACACATGTGCATGTGGACACATGTCTCTGTATCCATGTGTACAGTGTGCACACATATCCATGTGGACGCGTGTCTCTGTGTCCGTGTGCACACACGTGCATGTGGACGCGTCTCTGTGTCTGTGTGCACACATGTGCATGTGGACACGTGTCTCTGTATCCATGTGTCAGTGTGCACACATGTGCATGTGGACGTGTCTCTGCATCCGTGTGTGCCTGTGTGCACATGTGTGTATCACCATCATCACACGTGAGTGCACAGCCCCAGCCCACATGAGAGCTGACCTCCCCAGTGCTGGGGGTGAGCTCTCCAGGCCTCAGCGTGTGCGGCCCAGAGCAGGCTCTGTGGACCTGGAGTCCAGGTACTGGACGGTGGTGGAAAGGCCACCAGGCAGGCCGGGCTGCAGCCCAAGGACACCGCCTGAGCTGGGCTGGGCCAGGTGTGCTCAGAAAGCTGAGCCTGCACAGCCTGCCAAGGCCACCTCCGTCCCCTTCCCTTTTGCCACAGGACACGAGGAGCCTCCTTCCTCTGGCTGTGTAGACGTAGGCAAGGCCCCCGTGCCCAGGCATGGCAGCACCACACACATGCACACAGGTGTACAACAGGGCCCGCAGAGCGGCTCAGCCAGGATGGGCCGGGCAGCACCTCCCTGGTGCAGGGCCCAGGGGTCTGGGTGGGGGGTAGAGCCCCTGTAGACTCAGAGCCCTCCAAGGCTCTCCTGCCAGAACACAAGTGTGTGCCGGGCCAGCCAGGAGGCACAGCAGCCTCCCACGTGGGCACATACACACATGAGCACACACCACCCCCTCCCCTTCGCAGCTCCAGAAACACATTCAGTCATCCGCTGGTCCCCAGGGGCCCCAGGCAGGGCCAGCCCCAGCTCAGGGCACCCAGGGCGGGGCGAGCAACCTCCCTGCCTGAGAGACACGCGTTTCAGGGCACAGCTTCTGCCCCAGCAGCCCTGGTCACCCAGCTGTGATCCTATGGGGCTCACACAGGGGACAGAGAGGTGACCAAGTTCCTGCAGGGACTGCCCAGCCTCTCCTGACCAGGGGGCCTCTCCTGCTGCACTGATGCAGTTCTGCCGACAGGGCATGGGGTAACCATGACAACCGCACCAGGCGGGCTTCCCCAGCCTGGCTATTGCTTGGAGGCCACAGGGGCTTCCCACAGCTATGGCCTGCTCAGCCCAGGGTCCTTGGCACCGACTCAGGACAGCTAAATATAGCTGCTCAGCAGGAGCTGTGAGCGGGAGGGAGATGACATCACCGCTTCTAAATCCAGCAGGAAGTGAGAGGTGGCAGTGGCCCAGACGCCTCCTCACTCAGCGACTGCCCACAGGCGGGCAGGTGCACACACACACACACACTAGCCCACGGGCACCTGTGCACACACACGTGCGCACACACACACACCAGCCCACAGATGGACGCACACACTTGCTGGCCACAGGCATGCACAGACGCACAACAGGAGAGGTGGCAAATGAACCCGACTGTCCTGGGGGTGCTCCCCTCCCCTCCGCCCACCCGCTGTGTCCTGCAGCTGCTCTCTGTGGTGCAGGGGCCCAGGACGTCAGGCCCAGCCCCATGGGACTCAGCAAACCCAGTGCAAAGCCAAGGAGAGGGGAGCGTGGGACCCTGCTGGGGCCAACACCGGGGGTGCTGCAGGGTCCCCACTCAGACACTCACAGATCGAAGACCAGGTAGTGGAAGCCCTCCTCGGAGATGCTGTCGTGGAGACGCACTGCGGGCACAGAGAAGTCATGAGCGGCGGCTGGGAGCCGGGCACTGCTCCCTGCCCACCTCAGGGCCCCCGGGGCTGCCTGCAGTATGAGGAGGGCCCAGGGGCGTGGCCGAGGGCAGAGCCCTGACGCCGGCGTCCGCAGGCCTCTGGCAGCGCCCCTGCCCTTCCTGCAGCCTCAGCTGCCTGCCTGGGTGCCCCGCAGGAGGGGCTCACCCAGCACAGCCCCAGACAGGAGCCCACGGAGCGTGACCTGGGAGAGGACACGATGGCCACAGGCCTCCCGCAGCCTCAGGCTCCAGGTCTGCGCCACACGTGTGAGCAGACTGACGGCGTCGGTCCAGGTCTGTGCCACACGTGTGCACAGACTGATGGCATTGGTCCAGGTCTGCGCCACGCGTGTACACAGACTGACGCGTCGGTCCAGGTCTGCGCCACGCATGCACAGACTGACAGTGTCGGTCCAGGTCTGTGCCACGCATGTACACAGACTGACGACGTTGGTCCAGGTCTGTACCACGTGTGTACACAGACTGACGGCGTTGGTCCAGGTCTGTGCCATGCGTGTACACAGACTGATGGCGTCGGTCCAGGTCTGCGCCACGCGTGCATAGACTGACAGTGCCGGTCCAGGTCTGCGCCACATGTGTACACAGACTGACGGCGTCGGTCCAGGTCTGTACCACGCATGTACACAGACTGACGACGTCGGTCCAGGTCTGCACCATGCGTGTACACAGACTGACAGCGTTGGTCCAGGTCTGCGCCACGCGTGCACAGACTGACAGTGTTGGTCCAGGTCTGTGTCATGCATGTACACAGACTGACGACGTCAGTCCAGGTCTGCACCACGCGTGTACACAGACTGACGTCTGTCCAGGTCTGCACCATGCGTGTACACAGACTGACGGCGTCGGTCCAGGTCTACGCCATGCGTGCACAGACTGACAGTGTCGGTCCAGGTCTGTGCCACGTGTGTACACGGACTGACGGCATCGGTCCAGGTCTGCGCCACGCGTGCATAGACTGACAGTGCCGGTCCAGGTCTGTGCCACGTGTGTACACAGACTGACGACGTCAGTCCAGGTCTGCACCATGCGTGTACACAGACTGACGGCGTCGGTCCAGGTCTGTGCCACGCGTGTACACAGACTGACGACGTCAGTCCAGGTCTGCACCACGCGTGTACACAGACTGACGGCATCGGTCCAGGTCTGTGCCACGCGTGTACACAGACTGACGGCGTCGGTCCAGGTCTGCACACGCGTGCATAGACTGACAGTGTCGGTCCAGGTCTGTGCCACGTGTGTACACAGACTGACGACGTCGGTCCAGGTCTGCGCCACACGTGTACACAGACTGACGGCGTCGGTCCAGGTCTGCGCCACGCATGCATAGACTGACAGTGCCGGTCCAGGTCTGTGCCATGTGTGCACGCAGACTGACGGCGTCAGTCCAGGTCTGTGCCACGCGTGTACACAGACTGACGACGTCAGTCCAGGTCTGCACCACGCGTGTACACGGACTGACGGCGTCGGTCCAGGTCTGTGCCATGCGTGTACACAGACTGATGGCGTCGGTCCAGGTCTGCACACGCGTGCATAGACTGACAGTGCTGGTCCAGGTCTGCGCCACGTGTGTACACAGACTGACGGCATCAGTCCAGGTCTGTGCCACGCATGTACACAGACTGACGACGTCGGTCCAGGTCTGCGCCACGCGTGCATAGACTGACAGTGCCGGTCCAGGTCTGCGCCACGTGTGTACACAGACTGACGACGTCAGTCCAGGTCTGCACCACGCGTGTACACAGACTGACGACGTCAGTCCAGGTCTGCACATGCGTGCATAGACTGACAGTGCCGGTCCAGGTCTGTGCCATGTGTGCACGCAGACTGACGGCGTCAGTCCAGGTCTGCACCACGCGTGTACACGGACTGACGGCGTCGGTCCAGGTCTGTGCCACGCGTGTACACAGACTGACGGCGTCGGTCCAGGTCTGCACACGCGTGCATAGACTGACAGCGTCGGGCCCTGCAAGGTTCAGAGCCTGACTTGGGGCTGCAGAACAGCTGGGCCTGGCACATTCCGCCTCGTGCCTGTGGGGTCGGTGTGCTTGGTGACAACGGAGGGACAGGGGTTGAGGGTGACTTCAGCACAAAGCAGCCGATGAAGCGGCAGCCCCAGGCCTGCCTGCCCTGGGCCACCCGTGCGCCCTATGCCTGAGCAGCAAGAATGTTCCGGAACAACTCATGCTGGGCCTCGCTCTCGCATGTGAGAACTGCCTGCTGCTGGCAGTGACGACAAGGCACGTGCCCTGTGCCCACTGGCACCCTCACGGTGTTTGCCCAGGCAGTAGGTGGAGCGGGGAAAGGCCGAGCACCCGCAGGGCACCCCTCGGGACACCCACGGCCATGCGGGAGTGCCTGAGCTCAGGGCCCGGCTCCACTTCCAGTTCCAGGTTCCTGGGAGGCAGCAGGGGAGGGCTCAATGCTTGGGCCCCACCACCCGCCTGGGAGACCCAGTTGGAGATCCAGGCTCCCGGCTCTGGCCTGGCTGAGCCACAGCTGTAGTGGGCATCGGGGAGTGGACCAGCAGATGGGAAACCTCCCTGTCTCTGCCTTTCAAATAAATAAAAAAAGAAAATTAAAAAAATTGAAAACATTGGAGGAATAGTTACATACTTCCTACTGGTCTAGAAGAAAAACTAACCAGCACATCAGATCTGTGAAAACACAGAGTTAAACAAAAAAACTGATCTGTCCCGAATTCTATTTAAATAAAGACACCAGACAAAAAGCCCCGGGAGCACACAGACTGGCAGGGGGCAGAGGCCGCCGAAGCCCAGGGGAGGTGCACAGAGACCCTGGCCATCTTCTTGCTCCGCTGGCTGGGGCTCTCCCCTGGGGGCTGCCCCTCTGCCAGGGGCATTCAAGGGCCTTGCTGGGACCAAGGCGAGGGCTCCAGGGCCGTCTGCCCATCCCAGGCAGCCAGCGGACCTTCCTCTCAACACCTGGAACACCCACGGGCCTTGGAGGGCTGACCCTGGTCCTGCAGGGCCTGACCAGCAGCCCGTCACCCCTGCCCCCTGCTCGAGCTCCTCACCTCTGCACAAAGACCCCAGAGCCTTTCATCCCACCACAACCCCCTGCCCAGCTGTCAGGGAACAACTGGCAAGGGAGGCCGACCCAAACCCGAGGCCAGTGCCAGGCCCGGGCAGGTGCAGACGCATGGAGGGGAGGCTGGGGGCAGCTGAGACGCCCACTCCCACTAGGGCACTGGTGGTGAGACAGACGCCGCCCCCATGGATCCGGGGGCCCCGCCGGCATGGGCAGCCTGAGTGCTGAAGGGCAAAGCCCAGCATCTCCCCCAGGGACGGAGTTCCCTGAGGCATCGCGGGGCACTGGGGGCAGCACGGGTGCAGCCCGGCCCCATGCCCAGGTGGGGACAGACCACAGACGCCTCAGCCGTCACCGTCACCGTCACCCGAGCAGGGAGCCAGCCCCACACTCGGCCCAGAAGCTGGTCCTGACAGCAGCCCTGCAGCCCACGTGGGCCCAGGGCTCTGACCTGGGGCCCTGCTTCCGACGGCCCCAGGGCCCTGGGCAGCCGGAGCCATGCTCACGCCACCCCTTCTTCCAGATGGCCCCCAACACCGGGCCCCTCACGGCAGACACTGCTGACACAGAACCCCGAGAGGTGAGGACCTGGCTGGCAGCCTGGACGGGGCTGGGCTGCTGCCTGGGAGCAGCAAAGGCCCGTGGGTCCCTCCCCGCTGCGGTCCTGGCTTGGGAACCCCACACACAACGTGATGGCTCAGCCCGAGGTGCTCACACAGCAGCCACAGTGGGGACCACCAGGACCTGCCAACCAGAGGCCAACCCAGGGTTTCCGAGACCCAGCGATCCCAGGGTCCCAAAGAACTGGGAGCTGTCCCTGCACTCGGGACTCAGACACAGCTGGCCCTGGGTGCCGATGGCTAAGCAAGGAGGAGGACTCTCGGTTACCCCGGGGAGGCAGCGGGCGGGGCACAGGCACCCGCGGTCGCACCTTGCTGGGTGAAACAAGCCAGACTCCCAGACACGACAGCACTGCGGAGGCCGCTGGATGCCCCACCACAGCCGAGCTCAGAGAGACAGGGAGAGGAAGGGGTGCCCGGGGCTGGGGGCCAGGGTTTCAGAAGCACCGGTTTCTGGGGAGACAGGTTTGGGAGTAGTCACCGGTGCAGGGCACTTGCCGGGGAGGGTGTCTGGAGTGCCTCAGAACCCACCAGCATAGACGTAAGATTATAGGTGCTGTGTTATGCATGCTTTACCGTCATCTTTTTTTTTTTTTAAGATTTATTTATTTATTTGAGAGGTAGAGTTACAGACAGTGAGAGGGAAAGACAGAGAGAATGGTCTTCCATCCGCTGGTTCACTCCCCAGATGGCCACAACGGCCAGAGCTGAGCCGATCTGAAGCCAGGAGCTTCTTCCAGGTCTCCCACATGGGTGCAGGGGCCCAAGCACTTGGGCCATCTTCTATTGCTTTCCCAGGCCACAGCAGAGAGCTGGATTGGAAGAGGAGCAGCCGGGACTAGAACTGGTGCTCAAATGGGATTCTGGCACCGCAGGCAGAGGAAAAACCCACTGCGCCATAGTGCCGGCCCCCACCATGATCTTGACTGTGCTGGGGCCGGTGCTGGGGCGCAGCATGAGCTGCTGCCTGTGGCATCGGCATCCCATGTGGGCGCTGTTTGAGTCCCGGCTGCTTCACTTCTGACCCAGCTCCCTGCCAATGCGCCTGGGAAAGCAGAGGATAGTCCAAGTGCTTGGGCCCCTGCCACCGACACAGGAGACCCGGTGGAACTCCTGGGTCCTGGCTTCCACCTCCCTGGTCATTGTGGCCATTTGGGGAGTGAACCAGTGGATAGAAGATCTCTCTCTCCCCACTCCCTCTAACTCAGCATTTCAAATAAATAAATATTTTCTAAAGACACTGTGTTCCTTGTTTTCTTTTCTGTGTCTCAGCTGTCTTCTGTCTCCCCTCTGCCTCTCACTGTCCCTGTCTCTCCCTCTCTCCTTGTCCCTGTTTCTCTGTCTCTCTCTCCCTCTTTCTCTGTTTCTCTCTCTCGTCTGTCTCTCCCTGTCCCTTTCTCTACCCTCTGTCTCTCCCCTCTGCCTCTCCCTGTCCCTGCCTCTCTCCCCACTCTGTCTCTCCCCTCTGCCTCTCCCTGTCCCTGTCTCTCTCTACCTCTCTCTCACTCCCTCTCCCTGTCTCTCTCTCCCCTCTGTCTCTGTCTCTTTCTCCCTGTCCCTGTCTCTCCCTCTCTTCCTGTCCCTGTCTCTCCCTGGTCTCTCTCCCCTCTTTCTCTGTTTCTCTCTCTCCTTGTCTCTGTCTCTCCCTGTCCCTTTCTCTACCCTCTGTCTCTGTCTCCCCTGTTTCTGTCTCTCTCTCCCTGTCCATGTCTCCCTGTCTCTCTCTCCGTCTGTCTCTTGCTGTCTCTGTCTCCCCCTGTCCCTGTCTCTGTCTCTCCCCTCCATCTCTCGCTGTCCCTGTCTCTGTCTCTCCCCTCTCTCTCCCCCTGTCCCTGTCTCTGTCTCTCCCCTCTGTCTCTCGCTGTCCCTGTCTCTGTCTCTCGCTGTCTCTGTCTCTCTGTCTGTCTCTTGCTGTCTCTGTCTCTCCCCTCTCTCTGTCGCCACTCACTCTGGGGAGGCGCAGTGGTCCTGATGACACTCAGTATCCCTCTGCACCTTGGCCCTGGCCTGGGAGGGGTGTGGATGCTGCAGGCCCTAGAGCTGGCTGCTTCTCACAGGCTGTTTCAACCCAGAGTCCTGGGCCCACCCTGGCACCGGCCCAGGAATCCACCCACAAGCACCCAACACGGCAAGGCCTGAGTTCCTGGGGGCAGGCTGCCGGATGCACACACGCACACAGCTGCTCCCGTGGCGGCCCATCCTTGACGCCACCGCATCCACCCTGGGAGGAGGCGGGGCTGGGCACTTCCAGGGAGAAGGAACAGGCAGAGGAGGGAGAGGGGAGGGGACGGCCCGGCCCCGCCCGGCCCCGCCCCTGCGGCTCACCAATGTTGGAATGCTTCAAAAGGCGGCAGATCCTTGCCTCTCTCTCCAGCTTCTGGTGATCTAGGGGCAGAAGAGGAGCGGACGTCAGCTCCCGCCCAGCAGCCGGCGACACACGCTGCCCCGGCAGGAGAGCCCCCGCAGGAGGCTGACAGGTGGCCCTGAGGAGGGCACACGCCTGCCCGCCGCCTGGTCTCTGGGCAGACACCCGGAGCGGGCGCTCAGGGCGGGAGGCAGGGGCAGGTGGACAAGAACAGAAGCGACAGGCACTGGCGGCACAGCCTGCACCCTTCACTTGTCTGTCCTCACCCCACGCTCTCGGGAGCTTTCTGCTGATCCAAACCCGTCCTCCCTCGGGGTGCTAGCCGCCCCTCCTCCCACCTACAAAGCTCAGGGCCCAGGCAGACAGAGGGCCGCTGGGCACCCGGACCCCTAGTCCTCAGAGGCCACCGCCACCTGGGCAGCTCCTCCACAGGGTCCCCAAAGGACGGAACAACTTGTCAGCCAGAAACCTGATCTTCCCAACAGAGGGGCCAGGGAGATTTCAAGGCCAGTGGAGACGGTGACAGCAAAAAGTACCCCCCGCATTCCCACGGCCCAGAGAAGGGCAGGCACGCGGCTGCCGCCACACGGCACAGTGCAGCGGTCCCCACTGGCGCCCCAGATCCCAACAGCCTGCTGGCGGGAGAAGCAGGGCCCCAACTGCGCTCTTGTCTGCATCAAGGTCAAAGCTGGCGCATCCCAGAGGAACAGCCACGGACAGGACCGCGGAGCAAGTGCAGATGGTGCTGGCTCCTGGGAGGGGGGTGCCGGCGCCTGGATCGCCCGCCCTTGCCGAATGCCAAGCACCTAATTGTGCCCACCCAGGCGGCAGGGGCACGTCCTTCAACGGTGAGAAAGACGGCAGGCACCAATTGGAAACGACCACTGGGACGCGGGACAGCTAGGCGGTCTGTGGCTGGGCCATCGCTGGGACCCGTCCTCTGAGGTGGGCACGGCGAGGTCTGGGGCACGGGCCACACGAGTGGCACAGCCTCCCTTGCACACAGGCGCCTCTCTGCAGAACTGGCTCTCTGCCCCGGGACTACCCCGGAGCTCCCCCGCCTGCCCACCTGGCTGCCATCTGCTTCTCGCCGGGTGCCTGGCACCTGGCACCCCACAGAAGGGAGGGCCCCAGGGGAGGCTCCAGGGCAACAGCGTGAGACCCCGCCCCAGCCTCTGGCTCCCTCGACCCCACACCCACATCCTGCTGCCGGGGGCGCTGACTCCCCGGAGGGGCGGCAGGGCGAGGGGCGGCTCATCTCCTAAGCGCTTGGGGATCTGCACACAAGTGAAGGCAGGGGTGTGGACTGATGCAAGCCTAAGGTGACGGGCTGGGCCGTGTGGGGGCAAGTCTGCGCACATGCACGTGTGCCCCCTCCTGTGCACCTGCTCAGACGCTGGGGGAGAGGAGTTAGCTGAGTGTTTCCCCTGCCAGAGGCGCAGCCCAGAGACATCACACAGCGCTCATTGCTCATTTATACCCCCATGAAAGCGCTTATCAGAAAACACACACAAAAAAAACACGAAACACAAGACAAAACAAACAATTTCACTGCAGGATCAGCCTACACTGGAGCCTGCAATTACCCACCCACGAGCCCGCATTCCGATGACGGCACAACAGCCTGCGTCCCCCGCCCCGGGGATGCCGGGCCCCAAGGCTCTGCCAGGTGATTCTGCCGCGAGATGCCACTGCGCGTGCTGCCAGCCCTGTCCCTGGGTGCCCTGAGGGCAGCAGGACCTGTGGGGCCCAGTGCTCGGCTAAGCCATGCCAGGGCTGCCCACAACCCCAGAGGCCATCAAGGCTGGGGTTCAAGGCCACAGCCTCTCGTGATGATGCCCAGATGCTCTTGGTGTGCGGGCCGAGGGTGTGTCTGCTGGGGACAACAGCCTACGCTCACAACACAGCCCCGCTGATCTGCAAACACTGCCCCGGGGGTGGCAAGGGCCCCGTCAGAGAGAGGAGGAGACACTGTGTGTGCCTGGGCTCCCCTCCCATGCCTCAGCCTTCTCCAGGGTCTGGGCGTCCCAGCCGGTGTGGGTCACCTGCTTGCAGCAGCAAGCAAAGCAGGTGTGCCTGCCGCAAGGACACCCTGTGGGCTCTGCCCCCTGGCCAGCACAGCCCATCAGAGAGGGACCACGGCCCTGCAGCACAGCCACAGTAATGCAAGGACACCCTGTGGACTCTGCCCCCTGGCCAGCACAGCCCATCAGAGAGGGACCACGGCCTGCAGCACAGCCACACTAACGCAAGGACAGCCTGTGGGCTCTGCCCCCTGGACGTCACAGCCCATCAGAGAGGGACCACGGCCCTGCAGCACAGCCACACTAACACAAGGACACCCTGTGGGCTCTGCCCCCTGGACGTCACAGCCCATCAGAGAGGGACCACGGCCCTGCAGCACAGCCACACTAATGCAAGGACACCCTGTGGGCTCTGCCCCTGGCCAGCACAGCCCACCAGAGAGGGACCACGGCCTGCAGCACAGCACACTAACACACAGGCCTGGGGGCCTGTACCCAGCTCTGGGGGGGGGGTCCGTAGCTCCTCTGGGCTGTGCCTGGGGGCCTTGTACCCAGCTCTGGGGGGGAGGGGGGGTCCGTAGCTCCTCTGGGCTGTGCCTGGGGGCCTTGTACCCAGCTCTGGGGGGGGGGGTCCGTAGCTCCTCTGGGCTGTGCCTGGGGGCCTTGTACCCAGCTCTGGGGGGGGGAGGGTCCGGAACTCCTCCTGGCTGTGCCTGGGGGCCTTGTACCCCGCTCTGGGGGGGGGGGGGAGGTCCGAAACTCTCCTGGGCTGGGCCTGGGGGGGCTTTTTACCCCACTCTTGGGGGGGGGAGGTCCCTAATTCTTCCGGGGGGGGGGGGGGGGGGCTTTTTACCCAGTTCGGGGGGGGGGGGGGTCCGTAGCTCCTGTGGGCTGTGCCTGGGGGCACAGCGTTGCTCAGAGGGAGACGGTGAGCTAAGAGTAAGGAACCTTCTGCTGAGGTCAGTGGAGGTGAGGATTCTCAACCACCCCGCAGCACCTGCTGTGTGAAGCCCCATCAGATATAGAAACTGAGGCACAGGGACCAGCTCAAGGTGGCCAGGTCTGAAGGCCCAGGCTGGGAGCCTGGGGACAGGCAGGCAGCTACCCCCAGGGCCCCCAGGTCTGACCCTGGCCAGTGCTCCCCTGAGGAAGGAGGGCCTACCAGGGCGGAAGCCACAGACCCAGGACAAGCGTGTGTGTTAGGAAAGTCTCTTCCCTTCATTCCCCCTCGTGCAGCTGGGAAGTGAGCTGGGGAGGTCTCCCCACCTGCTCCTGACAGCGGGTGACGAACGGCAGGGAGGGTGCCATGGTGCCCGCCCCCAGCTGCAGGGCTGTCCCTAGGGGGGGCGTGAGGCTTGGGGCAGTGGAGCAGGGGCAGGAAGTGGGGGCGCAAGGTCCACCCACAACGGGGGGCTGTGTCCCGCTCCTCCCTAGGCAGGGAGACACCCGAGCAGGCCGCGTGGGAGCTGCTCCACTCCCGGGACCAGAGCAGCCACACTGCGCGGGTGCTGTGAGTCCCATCTGCTGCACGGCCTGGACGAGTGACACTGTCCCAGGCCACTCTGGACGACAGAACAAGGACAGGCCCTATAGGGCCTCATGGACTGCACGGGAATCGTGTGTGCCTAGTGTCACAAGTGCTCAGGGATGCCCCCACCCCAGGGATCCCATCTGAATGTCAACGTGCAGCTGGCTGAGGGAGGGCCTGGGGACAGGGACCCTGCCAATGGGGACAGCCCTGCCCCTACTGCCCTGTCCTGGACACAGGGGGCTGATGTGCCAGGGGGCGCCGGGTTAAGGCTGCAGGGGCTCTGCTCCCCAGGCTAAGCAGGCAACTCTGAGCCCAAACCAACATCATCGAGGCGGGGGAGATGTCAACCATCTTACACCAGCCAGGGTGGGCACAGGGACAGTGGACACTGACACTCTGGGCGGGACAGTTGGAGGCGCCCTCATGGCTGGGACCACATCTTAGGGCTCAGGCCCTGCCTGGTGAGTGGCAGCTGTGTCCAAACCCCACTGGGGGCCTCAGTTTCCCCACTGAGAGGGTGGGGGAGGTGTGCATCCAGCCTTGCTGTTCCAGAGCTGCCCCAGGCCGGTGCCCTTCATGCCCCAGCCTCCTCACACAGCTGGACACGCATCTGTTCAACACTCGGGGACCAGGGACTCCACGCTCCACCCCTGCAGTGCACGGCAAGCCCTGCGGGCCCCAGGTGACCAGCCCTGCCCGGGGAGCCCCTTCTCCTTCACCTGTCTCAGCCACCTGCACCGTCCAGCAGCGTCGAGGCATCCCAGAGTCTGGGAGGGCTCTGGAGGTCCACACCACACCCGCACGTGCACCTGCCCACTGTCTGATTCCCGCACACACGGCCCCATCCACCCTGACGGACCCAGGCGTGTGTGTGAGCCCTGCGGTCAGCCCTCTGCAGAGGCCCCAGGTTAGAACCCGACATCCTGGACCTTCACAGCAGGCCTGACCCCACGGCCCACTCACCACGGTCTGCCTGGCACCTGCAGACCCCGGTACAGGGTGGCTCTGGGCCCCACCCAGGCCAGTAAGCAAGGAAGGAAAAGCAGCCCCCAAGTCTCAGGCTCAGCCGGTGCAGGGGCTCAAAGCCAGGCCCCCGAGAGTGGACACGGAGCCTGTGCATGGGACCCCTGCGTCAGGGAGGGCACTGGTGTGGGACACCAGGTGGAGGTGGGGCTGGGCCCTGCGCCCTGCACCCTGGGGAAGCCACGTCACCCCCTTTCCCTTCTGGGGGACTTCTTGGAGCCCTTCTGAGGCGGCCTTGGAGCCAAGCCCGAGGTGCAGCACTGCAGGTGCCCGTGGCCCCGCCTGCCTGCTCTCTGGCCTCCAGCGGGCACTGGGGCGGGGCTGGGTTTAGGGCAGAGCCGCCGGCCCTGAGGCATGGCCAGGTGGAGGCTGGGGGGCACAGGCAGACGCCCCCTCCCGCTCAGCCTCCTGCACCGGGGACCCCAGCACATCCAGGCAGGCCGGGGGGTGGCGAGGTGCGGAGGCTCCCGCTGCGACATTCTGCTCTGTGACAAGAAGGCAGCTCGGCAACCGGCAATTACCGCGCCAGCGACGGCAGCGCCCGCGGCGCAGGAGGCACCCGGCCCGGGTGCTGGCCTGCAGCTGCCTCCCCTCCTCTGCGCTGGTGTGGGGGAGCCCGGCGGGGCTCCGTGCGGGGGGCATCCTGCTCCTGACGAGCTCTCGGCCCCACCAGTGGCCTCCCCCCAGCTGCTCGCGGTGCAGAAGCCTGGAGATCTCTCAGCACTCGGGATGCGCACAGTCTGACGTCTCGCCGTCCTCCGCTGCACTGGGTAAGCTTTAAAACCCAACCGCCGCTGCCTTTAGCACGGCCCAGTGCGACGTGGAGCGCTGGGGGTGCCTGGGAGAGCCTGGATCCCTGTGCCAGCCCCTCCTCCTGCACATGTGCCACCTGCCGCCTCTCGCATGGGAGCCCTGGACATCTTGGACACAGAGGGGCCGAGGGGCGAGGGGTGGGAGCACAGGCCCCGGCAGTGAGTAGAGCTTTGCCTCAGGCCCCTCCCAAAATAACAGGGCCAAGGCCATTTCAGGGACACCCTGCCCCCGGCCATCCGTGCCAGGAGGAAGCCGAAGCCAGCACACTCGCTGTGTGGGCGTTTGTCCCCAGGTTCCTGGCTCTGGGCTGGGGCCAGAGAGGCCGCCAGGCAGACCCGCTGAGCTTGCCCAGAGTCCGGAGCCCAGGGTGCCCAGGGTCCCTGATGGAGGAGGGGGCCCTGGGCCTGCAGCAGGGCCAGCCGATGGCACCTGAAAGTGACAGGGTGACCAGGCAGGCCCGGGGGAGCAGCAAAGAGGAGGGGGGTTCACACTCAGGCAGCCTGTGCAGGGGGCTCCTCCAGGCACCTCCACTTCCCAAGCTTCTGAACGTTACAGCTGGGGAAACCGAGTTGTACAGTGGGGAGGCCCCCGTGATGTCCGAGCCCCTCTCCCTCACCCCTCGGCCCCTCACGTGATGTCTGAGCCCCTCTCCCTCACCCCTCGGCCCCTCACTGGGGAAGCCCAAAGGGTCTGGGGAAGATGGGCGGAGCCTCCGCTCTCCTCCTGGGGAGGCCGCTGGGCAGTGGGGGTCGGGGACCCAGAGCAGGTGAGTAGGAAGGCAGGATTCTGCCAGCTGCAGAGACCAGGAGGGAAGCTCCCAGCACCCTCCCCTGTGGTGCCACTTGGGGGTGCAGCACTGTCACCCCAAACCCTGCGGGGCAGGCTGGGGCAGCAGAGGGGGAAACGGAGGCACAGCCCACAGCAGTCAAGGCAAGGCCGGCTCTGGGTCGTCTCCTGGAGTCTCCCATCCCCACCACTAGGCCCCCTGACCTCAGCACTCTGCAGATGCATGTGGGGGTGTGGGGTCGACTTGCAGGAGGGAAAACTGCCCAGGTGCTCCGCTGCCTGGCGCCAACCAACTCCTCTCACGCTTCAAGACACACCCCACACAGCCCCCGCACCTCCCCGGCCCCGGCCCCGGCCTGCGGTCAGCACCCTGTCCTCTGCTGTCCAGGACAGCGGCTCTGCTCAGCCTCCCTCGGCCTCGCACAAGCCTACGGGTGAGACGGACGCGCTGTGGGCCCGGGAGCCCTGCGTCTGACCTGACACTCGGGGCAAACCCAGGGAAGATGGGCTGCGGTCTGGGGATGGCATCCAGGGAGGAGGCAGGGCTGGGGCCTCACCCGTGCAGAGGCGCCCGGGGTGGCTCTCTGGGGTCTCGCACACCCGGGGCGGGGGTCCTGGAGGGATGCATGTCAGGGCCGGGCTTCCAGGGGGACAGGGCTCCCCACACTCCTGTGAGGACCAGGAGGGGGACAGAGGGAAACGCAAGGGAAGAGACGGGCATCTGGGGTCTGGTCTGCCAGGCTGGCGGGTTTGGACAAATTTCTACAACAGTCGAGCAGGTCCAGGCCACCTTTCTGTCAACATTCACTCGCACGTCTCCTGGGCATGGCTGGGTCTCTGGGGACATCCCTGCCCCCATCGTCATCTGGGGGTGGCACAGTAGCCGCCTCTGTCCCCCAGCACAGCACATGGACGGGCCCCACAGGGGACGCTGGAGCGTGACAAGCAGCGAGGACAATGACAGAGGACTGCAGTGGGGATGGATGACCATGAGAGCCGGGGCGGGGCGGGGTCCTGCCTGCCTCAGTCCTCCCACCCCCCCCGGCCCAGCACAGCTCAAGTGTGTCTCCAGCAGCGCTGGCCACTGGACGTCTGAGGACATGGACGCTTCCGGAGCGCACAGCAAGCGCTGCGAGGTGCTGACTTCGCCTGACGATGACCAGCGCAGTGTGGCTGCGGCCAAGCTGGGTCTCAGCTCCTGGCTCACCAGGCTTGCAGTCCCCAACTCGGGGGTGAAGCTGGAGCCCCAGAGCCACGGCTGGCCAGCGGCACTGGGCGTGAGTGCTGATGGGATGTCCCCCTGGCGGCTGAGTGGCCGCCAGCATCCAGCCTGCGAAGTCTGACCAGGCCTGGGCACCTCCAGCCCCTCGTGTCTCAGAGACAAGAAGCAGATGAGGGCTGGGCCAGGGGCAGCCGGGGCTGGAAGACCCCGACTCCCACTCCAGCCTGCGTTCAGAGACAGCTCCCAAGAAGAGGAGATAGCCAGTGGAGCCACTGGCCTGGCATACAGCAGGTGCTCAAACAATTCCTACACAGAGCTGACAAATCACACGGGCTGGCCCCACTGCTGCCCCGGCCGCAGACCCCACAGTCGGCAGGCAGCCCTGGGAGGCCGAGGGCACCTGACCACCAGGGCTCCTCAGCTGGCAGCCAGCTCAGATCTGCGTCAGGATGCCCAGTGGGGAGGGCGGTGTCCAGGAGCAGAGGGAGACGGAGAGCGAGCAATGCAGCACACCCCCTCCACGCTCACCTCCACGGCCACCCCACTCTGGAGATGCCACTCAGTCCGTGGACTCCCGCAGGTGCACACCGCAGCCCTCGGTCCCCGGCTTCTCACCAGCCACAGGTCGTGGGGAGATGACTACCCTGATGCCACAGGGCCCGGCCACCCCCAGCCTCTGGGGCAGAGACCCCACCAGACACGTCCAGGGGGCCAAGCGAAGGCTCATGGGCATCTGGCTCTGAGAGCCAGGGCACAGGCCTGGGTCCACGGGAGGGTCCCACACCCCGCTCCCACTCAGCCAGATGCACAATCCTGCCCCCCAAAACTCCTGAGCCCCACTCCATCTGTGGAGCCACAGCAGGGGCCAGCTGAGCCCACCAGGGGCCCGAGGCCCAGCCCGGCCACCGCAGGTGCTCCCAGGCCTACCTCTGGCCGACAGCTTCTTGGTGTTGATGATCTTGGCCGCGTACTCATGGCCAGTGCAGAGCTTGACGCAGCGTCGGACCACAGAGAAAGCCCCCCTGGGAGCACGCAGGAGCGAGAGACAGACAGGGACGGGCAGAGGGAGAGAGAGAGAGAGAGAGAGAGAGAGCGCTGGTTAGTCCCACAGAACACCCAGCCAGGCGGCGGCAGGCGGCGCTCAGAGGTGGTCCGTGCCCTGTGCACGAAGCTCCTGGCCACCCTCCTTGGCACCAGCAGGACAGGGCCAGGCCTGGGACAGCGTCTGCGAGGAGCAGGAGCGGCCACGGGCTGGGGGAGGCTGGGGATCCCCGCTCTGCTCTCCTGCACCCCGGGGGCCTTCTGCCCTCATGAATCAGGCAGATCGAGGGTCCACCAGGGAGGCCCCCACCATACACCCCGGAGCGTCTACACACCCCGGGGCGTCTACACCAGACTATGGGACCCTGGGGTAGGAACTAACGCTGAGCTTGCTGAGCAGGCTCTTCACAGGACTCGCGGAAGGTTCTGGAAGGAGAACAGAGAGGCATCCCATCACCAAAGGACACAGCTTGGGGAGAGGATCCCCGGGCATCCCCTGCCCTGGGGTCAGAGCAGACGCTGGGACACTCATGCCCACGCACCTCACAGGGCTCTGCCAAGGGACACAGGGCAGACTCGGGACCCGGCAGGCGGCCCACCAGGAGCCCAGGGAGGGGCAGCAGGAGGGGGCCAACCCTGGGCAGGGGCTGGGCTGCGGGCCGGGGCTGGGAGGGGGCCAGAGTCGGGCTGCACACTGCAGCCCTGGGCGGCCCTGGCCCCCAGCATGGCCCGCCCTCAGCTGCCCCCAGCCCTCAGGCACCACGCCCAGGCTTTAGGGGCAGGGGCTGTGATCCTGGGAGACAAATCCCTGTGAAAATGCACTATTTATTCCTTGGGGAAACACTGACGGCCACACGGAATCTAATTGAACACTTTAGGAACACCTCGGGTCTTCATGCCACGGGCTTCACCGTGAAGCTTGACAGAGACAGGGGAGGTGGGCGGCGACCCCCCGGGCAGGGGGCGGCCCAGGAGGTACACATTTTCACTCTGCAGTCTCTCGTTCTACCTGATGTTTTGTAGGATATTTATTTATTTAGGAAATCAGAGTTACAGAGAGAGAGAGAGGTCCTCCATCCACTGGTTCACTCCCCAGGTGGCCGCAACGGCCAGCACTGGGCCAGGCCAAAGCCAGGAGCCAAGAGCTTCACCTGGGCCCCCCACGTGGATGGCGGGGCCCAAGCAGTCGGAGCATCCTCCACTGCCTTCCCAGGCCACAGCAGGGAGCTGGATCGGACTCCGACAGTAAATGCAGGTGTCCCGGCAGCGGCTCCACCCCCTACGCCATAGTGCCTGCCCCATCCATCCGATCTTATCACCATGCACACCGGTTACAAACAGTCAGCCACTGTAACTCTAGCGCCTGGGAGAAGCTGCTGGTGAGGACGGAGGCTCCCAGGGCCGCAGTCTGGGGTCAGGCGGCCCCGTGGTCTGAGGGAGGCGGACGTCAGGGCCCGGGCGGAGGGAGGACCCAGCGAGCCGGCTGCAGCCTCCTGCTCCTGGGCCTCCTGCAAAGCCCGGCTCCTCTGAGCGCTGCCCCGGCAGGCGTCTCGTGTCTCGGGCGCTCACTCCACTTCATGGAACTTCTTTCTGCCCCTCCCTCCATGGCTGTCTGTGGGGAGGGCCGAGTCCGGCCCACTCTGGGCGCTGTCATCAGGACGATGCCCGGCCTGCAACACAGAGCCAGGACGGACCCAGGCAGCCCAGGTCAGCTGCGAGAGTGGGGTGGCCGGGCCTCAGCACCCGTCTGGCCCGGCACACAGAACCAGAGTGCTCACCGAAGAGCCTCGGAGACGGAGGGGCTGGGGTGGGACACAGCAGCCTGGAAAACTGAGAACCCCCAGAGCAAACCAGCAGGGGGACACCCGGCGAGGCCCAGCACGGGGGAGGGGAGCCTGCGGGGGACGGGCATCGTGTGTGCTGAGGCCGGGCAGGACACAGGCCAGGCAGAGGAAGCCCCTCCTCCCATCCAGACGCACATCTGGGCCCGGCAGGCAGTGGCCGCCTCTGGTCGCAGCTCCACGGAGGACGACCTGGTCAGGGTGGCAGGTGCACCCCTGACCACGCTCCCACCCCTGGCACGCCCCCCGCTGGCGGAGGCAGCCTCGAGCCCCCTGCAGCATCCACGTCGCCTGCCGCTGAGGGCGGTGGAAAGCGACGCGAGTGCTCACTCAGATCACGGGGCCCCAGGCACCAAGCGTGTTAAAATCAAATAAAGCTAATTAAAGCCAGACGCTGCCTTTGAGTCCCCGCCTTGCTGACAGGTTGCAGTGGGAGCCACAGCACTGGGGGGACCGTCCTGGAAGGAGACGCAGGGAAGAACGGCCAAGAGGGGCCGGGCTGCGCCGCGGTTCCGGCCCACGTGGGGCTCCGGCTTCACTGCTGTCCCCTCATAGGCAGGGCCTGGCCCCCAGTGTCCCACAAGCCCCAGCTCTGAGCCGCGCCCAGGTGCCCACTGGGTACCACCATCATCTACGGCTCCCAACCCCCCCCAGAACCCAAGGAGCTACGGCCCCCCTCGCCCTCTCCGGGGGGCCACCAGCAGCCCTCCCTGATGCCCAGGCTGCCCCGCAGGCTCCTCCCCCTGGGCGGGGCCAAGCAGCGGGAAGTCTGCTGGAGCTGGCTGGAGCAGGCACAAGGCTGAGCCTCACTCTGGGCCTGCAGTAGGGGCTGCAGAACAAACCCAGGGCCCCTCTCCCTCCTCCCCTCATCACAATGGGCCCCAGGGACACAGGAGGGCTCTCGGCACCAGGTAAGACCCCCGATGCGGCCATCAGGCCACCTCTCCTGTCCCATGGGCCCCAGGGCTGACCCTGTCCCCAGCAAGTGGGACAATGATTGTCTCTCCTGCCAGACCACGTTCATATGAAATAAAGGGACCCACGGGGAGGCCTGAGGCAGGCCCGCAGCCAGGGTGTGTGGACGCCGGGGACCGGGAGCTGGGGGCTTGCTCGGGAACGTGGAGTCTCAGGGCGCCGCCAGCCACGCCCTCGACACACAGACTCTGGCTCCCTGTGGGCGTTCTGGAGTGGCAGGCACTCCCCTGTCCCCTCTCTGCCCCCAGGCCGTGTCCACCCTGTGACCCCGGGTTGTCCTGCCTGTCTGGCCCCCGCTGGCTCCCTACCAGGGTGCTGTCTGCGTAACCAAGCCTGCCAACCCCACTTCACTTCCACCCGTACCACAAACACACGTGTCTGCTAACAACACAGCACAAGCGTGCACACACACACACCCGATGCACCTCAGACTCGCATGATGCACTTCACACATGATGCATGTCACACACATGACACATGGCACACTTCACAGTGCTGCATTCACACACATACGACACACGGCACACTTCACATGATGCACGTCACACACATGATGATGTCACACATGTTACACTTCACGTGATGCACGTCACACACACGATACACTCAGCACACACACACACACATGCACACACACTCTCCAGACGGGCAGGAAGCGCCCGGCCCACGTGCAGACCCGTCACTCCACAGGATACCACGTTGTGGAGCTGACAGAGGCGGAGCGAGTGGAATGAAAGCCAAGAGCTAACCCCGTGACCGGCTTCGTAAGCTGAACGACCTCTGGCTGCCGGGTGAGCCCCACATGGCTCCGGCACTGCCCTCACTGCAAAGTGCAGCCCACCCCGGCACCTCCGCAGACCTTTCTGGGACAGGTGGCTCCTGCTGTGGACTGGCGAAAGGCTGTTCCGCCTACCCAAGCTCGTCCCAACTATTCTCTTTAAATATTTACTTGAAAGGCAGAGTTAGAGAGAGAGAGAAGTAGAGAGACAGAGAGAATCTTCCAGCCACTGGCTCACTCCCCAAATGACCACAACAGCCAGGGCTATGCCAGGAGTCAGGAATTCCATCCAGTCTCCCACGTGGGTGCAGGGCCAAGCACTAGGGCCGTGTTCCACGCTTTCCCAGGCGCGTTAGCAGGGAGCTGGATTGGAAGTGGAGCAGCCGGGACTCAAACCAGTGCTCATATGGGTTGCTGGTGCTGCAGGCAGCTGGTTAAGCCGCTGCACCACAATGTTGGCTTAATTTCCCAGGTTTTTTTTTATTAATTAATTATTTTTTGACAGGCAGAGTGGACAGGGACAGTGAGAGAGAGAGACAGAGAGAAAGGTCTTCCTTGTCCGTTGGTTCACCCTGCAATGGCCGCTGCAGCCGGCGCACCGCACTGATCCGAAGCCAGGAGCCAGGTGCTTCTCCTGGTCTCCCATGCGGGTGCAGGGCCATCCTCCACTGCCCTCCCGGGCCACAGCAGAAAGCTGGACTGGAAGAGGAGCAACCGGGACAGAATCCGGCGCCCCGACCGAATTTCCCAGTTTTTAAAAACCTAAGTCAAGGCCGGCGCCGCGGCTCACTAGGCTAATCCTCCGCCTAGCGGCGCCGGCACACCGGGTTCTAGTCCCGGTTGGGGCGCCGGATTCTGTCCCGGTTGCCCCTCTTCCAGGCCAGCCCTCTGCTGTGGCCAGGGAGTGCAGTGGAGGATGGCCCAGGTGCTTGGGCCCTGCACCCCATGGGAGACCAGGAAAAGCACCTGGCTCCTGGCTCCTGCCATCGGATCAGCGCGGTGCGCCGGCCGCATCGCGCTGGCCGCGGCGGCCATTGGAGGGTGAACCAACGGCAAAGGAAGACCTTTCTCTCTGTCTCTCTCTCTCACTGTCCACTCTGCCTGTCAAAAAAAAAAAATAAATAAATAAAAAATAAAATAAAAAAAAAAATAAAAACCTAAGTCAAGCAGGTACTGATTTGTGTTTCAAAAAAAAAAAAAACCCTCTCCTACCTTTGACCTTGATCCGAGCAACTGGGCAGAAGCGGTCACTTCTGCATGGACGGGCAGGCGCTGAGACCGTGGCTGGTCTCCCCTCGTCCTGCTATCACACAGGAACGTGGCCCTGCTCACGGCAGGTGCACCGCATTTGCACAGGAAGTGGGCAGTTTGAGGACCTCGCTGCCCT